TAATAAATGTGTAAAACATACACTGTGCTTGTGCATGTTTTCACTCTATGGGCGAGTATATAAAATATATTGTTTTAGCTGTTGCAGAGTAATTTAATTTAATAATACCCTGTTCAAAAAATATCATGTGAACAGGGTATAATACTGTTAGAACTAAGCACGTAACATACAGAAGAAGAAGCCGAATGAAACGGACAACATTTTCAATGGAAATATCTTAAATGTTAACTCAGCTTAATAATAAATATAATAAATGAAGTATGCTGATATGGTCAATCAACCAACTCAGCTATTTGTTGAGTCATCCTCCAACTTAGCACAGGGTATCTCCAATTTGATGTTCACCTCGCTTCAGTTGTACGTAGTATATGTAGAAAATACACGAATCGGATGACCACCGGTCTCCGCCCTGGGGAGGGAGGGTTGGGTAGCAATTTTATTATGTTACGAGCGCCGTGCAATAGCGAAAATTTTTGTTTTCAATTTTCAACACTTTTAATAGCCAATTAATTAAATGGCCAAACAACAAATAAAGGTATATAGTTACGCATGTGTGTGTGTGTGTGTGTGTGTATGTGTGTGTGTGTGTGTGTGCACATGTCTGGTAAAAATTTACCGAGCCCGGCAGCAAGCAATTTTTTCATAATTGCTGTGCGAGACTTTATTATTTGTAGGGCAGCTGCTGGACAATAGACTCCATTTTTTCATGGAACGCGTAAAACCAAAAAAAGAAATAATAAAAATATAAATAAAAATCGGTATCTATCGCCGGTCACATAAATCATGAAGGCATTAATATACGATGCCAAATGAAAGGCCGAGTCGGCAAACTCGTGCACGTAATTTATGCTTTTAACAATTGCAAATTATGATTTTTTTAAACAAATGTCAGATGTATCGTAAATAATAAATGAATAAACGAAAACAAACGACGGGTTGAAGCCTTTAGGGGAGGAGGGCATAACAATACACTCACTCAATTAACAAAATTACTATTTATGGGATTTTGCGAGACAGCCCCAAACACACACACACAGACACACACACACACACACACACTTGTGAAGAGCTTAATGCGTAGCCTGGTGACCCCCTTAGGATTAGTAGCAAATTGTTGTCTGTCCTCAGCAGGACGGGCCAGAACGAATGCCAAAACTTAGAGACAAGGACAAGCAACAACTACAGTGATCTCTTAAAAGTCTCGTCAAAGTTTCGTATTTATTTCTATGCATGAATTATTTATGCGCACAAAAACCAAGCTGTCTGCTCCCTGGACGAAACTTGCTCGGTTAATGTGCTCGGGCAAACGTTGTTCTTGTTGTTGTTGTTGTCGTTGTTGTGTGTTAGGTGCCAAAAAGTACATTGGGTGAGTAGGTGTATTAAAAACTTTTCAGCATTCTCATATGTTGAGGCTTTCTAAAAGAACAGACTGAGGTCTCTCCCAAGCACCAGCTGGAAGTTCACCTTTAAAAGCTGTTTCTTATGCAAGACAATTTGAAACAATATGAGAGGAAAAACAAACAATTCGACCTGCCGAATATGACATACTCTTGCGTATATGACAGCCTCATAAGAGAACATAGTTGACTTTCCTCGTGATGCAAAATATAAATATATAAAACAACATTGATGTTATCTTGGACTTTGGGTATTTGGGATACTGCATGTCGAACTACGTTCGATTTTAGGTAATACGTCGAGTGCCTGTCTTATGGTATGTGAACTCCTATTCTATGCAACAATCTAGGTGTGACTTCAGTCTGTGCTCAAATTAATGTCTATACCGACTATGGACAATGGACCAATGCCAACTGTCTGGCCCCTGAGCTGACCAGTAAAACAAGGCGAGAAAGGCTTAAAAGTCCACACCCCAGAGACTAAAGACGTATGCACCTTAGCGTCCGGTAGACTACTTGAAGCCGAACTTTAGGTGGCCTACCAACCTGTCATAATTCGAATTGAATTCAACTTTTCAATGACTAAAGTCCTCATCTGTAAGTAGATTATTATTGATAGTACAAATTCTAGACAGAAAAGAAGGCTTATCTCGCAAGTTAATTTTTTTAGCGTTTAGAGTTTAGTAGGGAACATAGCTTACAAATGTAAACAAGTTTTTTATTCAAGGAATCTATTTTCTGTTGATTCTTGTAAACAAGATATAGTCCGATTTTAATAAATATTTCGTAACTGTCGTAACTGTGAAATTTGTTTAGAAAAACTGGAAATAAAATATATATAAATGTGTTTGGGAGCATTTCCGTTGCAGGCATACGATATACAGGTAAAACTCTCTTTTAATACAGGTAAAACTCTCTTTTAACCCAGGTAAAACTCTCTTGGGCGTACACCCTAAAAGGGAAAAGCTTGCTTAATAATTACTATGTTGTAGGGATATAACAAATACAAAAAGATAAACAGAAGCACACAATTTAATAAATGGATGTCCAAGAACTAGGATATTTTTGTTTGTCAGCCAAATTGTATGCATTAAAAAAATATCTTGCCATTTTAGTTTCAAGAGTTGTTTTTCTAGAAAAAGAATAGCATAAAAAATATTAAAATCAAAAAATATTTGAGAGCTAAAAAAGAGGTCTGCCTGTTGACGTAGCTTTGACTGTAAATTTTGCTAACTACATCAAAAAAAAAATTCTACAAAACCTAATATAAATAAATGCTCAGCTATATTTCATAAAAAGGTACTTCCTTACAAAATTCGAAGACCCTCGCTACAGAGTGTATCACAACTAAAGTGTGCAATGAAAAGTTTTGCGGGTTGTGCCACAGATTCTTTGAGAAAACTTTTCCACCTGACTCGATTTGAGCAGAGGTCACCCGCCCACCGGAGCAACTGAATGTGTGCAATCAAAGCATATTAGAAGACAACAAGTGGCTGACAAAAGCGCAAAGAGCCAACGTCGTTGTCAGCAGTTGGACAAAAAACACTCGAACGAACGGATGACACTCCCCAGAGAACGCACTCGGCCATTGTTTTTTCTTTTTTGGTAGGCACGAATATGAACATGGCTTACAAAGGGTATGAGTGCTATAAATTTGACAACCCCACACCATAAAAGGGTTGAAGCTTGCCAAAAGTGGGGCGTGAAAGCGGGGCGTTGTTTTGGCCAGCAATTAAATAAAGGCTCAAAAAGCGCCACAAAGCCGAAAGGAGTGAAAGGCAGCCACATTGAAGAAGGGTCCATTGAAGTAGCAGCATTTGTCACTGACAGACGTTTTGGGCTCACAAAATGTAAAAGAGAAAGAATCTGTAAAATTAATAAAAAGTTAAGGAAAACTCGCAAGGAAATTGACGACAGCTGCCTGAAGATACTATTCAATGATGCCGCAAACGCAATGCCAATCGTATTCATATAATTTGACTCTAGGCAAGAGGTGCAACACGCTGAGGATTCATTTCGGCAGAGTTGCCTATCAACTGACTAAGAAATACCCTTAATAAAAATCCTTACTTAACTAGATACACACATGCGAACAATTGTTGTTTCTCTGTCAAACTCTTAACTTGCCTTGAAAAACAAAATAAATATTCACATTAATTTAGGAAATTTATGTGATTGCAAACAGATTTAATTGCCACCGCAATTAAAATAATAATATTGATTTACTTAATATTTTAAGCACTAAATATTGTTTTAACGCATTCAGATTAAAGGTAAGCCATGTGCACTTATATGTGTCGTTTATTTTGTTAATTTTTAATTGATTTTTTATTATTGTTTTTTGTTCCCCAGCCAATTTTATTTTCTATTTTTGTATTAATGTGCGTACACATCATATTTGTGATTTAATAAAATAAACATAAATATTTGCTTAGCAAAATCCGTTTTTTCTACTTATTTTAATATGTTCAATGATCTACTACTTTTTAAACAATTTTTTTCTGAAGTTCACATGTCAAAACAGAATCTGGCGTATAAGCAAAAAATACATAATAAACATGCATTTCTTTTTAAATAATATTTTATATATACTTAACGGTTTGTTTTTCTGACTGTTGCAGACACTTAGGCGATTCCATAATACCCTTCAATCAATTTATATGCGTACAGGGTATACATCACTAGCTGTGCTTGAAAATGGATGATTTCACTGACGATGTCACAGGACAACAGCTAAATTTGAGATGTTGTACACAAAAAATTGATTGTTATAAAAAAAATTATGAAAACGTAAAGTCCTTGCATCAAGAATGAAATTCTTTTTTGAGTTTTTAAGGAATCAAGGACGAAATTACTTTTCAATAGCCCGTCGTTTTTTCTCTCTGTGCAGATGTGCTGCTTAGGTGTGCCAGGCATTTAGGCAACTGAGCAACGAACATCCGGGTCCGAGTCCCCAGGCTAATGTGAAAAAGTTCGGTAGATTAACAATATCCTACCTTTGCAATAAAGTTAATACAGAAACGAGAAATAAGGGCTATCTTCGGCACTCCGAAGATTTAATACCCTTGCAGACCGATCCTTTTCATAATGCTCAAAATGCTTTGTTCATATCTAATAAAATTAAGATATCTTGAAATACAAAAAGATTTTCGAGCGATCGTTCCTATAGCAGCTATATGATATCTTGATAAAGTAAAAAGGTTTTTCATACATGAACCTACTTTTCGACCCATCGTTTCTATGGCACATGATATAGTGGTCCGATCGTATGTAAAGTTTCATGGGGATAGTTTTTATACTGAGAGATTAGTACGCATAAAAAACTATTATGCGCTTTTTGTCCATATTTAATGTGTTCAGGGTATAAAAATTAGTCTTTGATTGAACCCAGAACCAGTTTGCCCATATACCTTATCGACATGGAAATATTGGATAGACTTAAGTTCTCTGATATCGCTTGACATTTTGCGGTTTATAGAGTACATTTATCTATATACCACAAAGTAGAAAGTAAAATCTGATATGCTTAGACATACGAACTGACCACTAATTGAAAATTCGGTTTTCTAAATTTATCAAAATATATTCGTTTTTTATACTCACGCATTAGAAGCTGGCGCTCCGGTTGCGGCCCTGCCCGGCACTATGTGCTGCTCGCCGAATCGCCAATGGGCGAGGCCATGTTGCTGTTGCTGTCCGAGGTGGAGAGTGGGCGGCAAATGCCGAGACGCGTTGTGCCCGGTGGCATGGCCTTCAGTATGGCCACCGCATCGTCGAGGTCGAGACCTTGGAGTACATAGTCGCCGACGCTGATTAAACGATCGCCCGGAAAGATCTGGTTGGTTGCCTCCGCAGCACCACCGCGTATCAGGCCACGTATCACAATAACACTGCTCTCCGCATCGAGCGGATCCTGATAGTCGAGTATGGAGAAGCCGAAGCCCTGCTCTGACTTGTCAATCTCCACGACTGTCACCTCGCAGCTCCACAGCGCCAGTCCGGACACATTCTCCAGCGATTTGGAGCGTTGCGTTGCTGCCCCGGTCCCGGCGCTGGCGACGGCAACAGCAGCCGCAGCGGTTGCTGATTCCGTAAGCGTCGTTGAGCTGGATGTGTATAGAGAGCTCTCCGATTGCGCCTTGCTCAGCAGATTCTGCAGGCTCTGATGACCGCCGGGCAGCAAGCTGCGCGACTCGAAGGCCTCCACATTCCGCGAGGTATTGATAATGCAGGGCGCACGGGTGCCGCGAGCACAGACCAGCTTCACGCTAGCTGGCAACTCCTTGAGTATCTTAACCACATCGATATGACGCAGGCCCTGCAGCTTGTGCTCGTTGACCTGGAGCAGCTCGTCGCCCGGCCGCAGTATGCCCTGCCTGCCGACGGGACCGTCCGCGAGTATCGAGCGTATGTAATGATGCGGACGCTTCTCAATGCCGCACTCGACGTCGACGGTGCCCTCGAGGCTGATCCCTAGACCTGAAAGTTTATTTATTTCGGCAACTAAAATTTCACTGTCGGGAAACTCACTTTTCCAGGCCGCCCGCAGCGAGTTGGTGCTGGGGCTGGACAATTTCGGCGGCATGGCTACGGGCGGTGTGGGCGTGGCCGTGGGCGTATCCAGCTCATTGGTGGGCGTCTTGCCATGTTCCGGCTGGGCAACGGCTGCAGCTCCAGCCATCAGCTCCGGCACCAGTTCCTGTTCCGGCTCTGGACACTGCTCGTCGGTGTCATTGCCGCTGTCATGATCATGCCCATGGCCATTGCCATTTCCGTTGGTCAGATGTGGGGCACTGTGGTCGCTGCGATCCAGCATATGCGACAGATTCGAATCCACGGTGTCCCGCGAGGGCAGCTCTGGAAAGTCCGCCAGCAGTTGATTATCGCCAGCATCGGTGACAACGGAGTCCGCATCAGCGGATTTTGGCGGCAGCCAGCTGAGCGTCGCTATGGAGGGCGAGCCGGGCATCGAGAGCTGTGACTGGGCATCGCCATCGTTGGCGCTCGGGCCGACCTTCATCTCCGTGAGAGCCACCTGCAGATGCTCATACTTGCGGCCGCGCAGGAAACGCTCCAACGTCAGATGCACCTCAATGTCCGTATTGCGCAGCAATTCCACAGCCTGATGATTGGTCACGCCCGACAGAGTGCGACCATCGACGGCCACAATGCGATCATTGATCTGAATCTGGCCGCTCATCTCGGCGGCACTGCCCTCAATGATGCTCTTCACAAATATGCCCGACAAATCCTCCTCCTCGCACACGTAGCCGGCCACGGTAATACCCAAGCCGTAGACATTCTTGTGCAGCTCCACGATATACGTTTCGGTTTCGGGTGAGTCCGCGTATGTGGAGGGCGACTCGGAGCCCAGAGAGCAACAGTCGCCATCATCGGCATTGGGCGTTGCCGTCGCCGTCGCCGTCGCCATTGTCGTTGCCAACTTTTTGCCGGCTATCACAGTGCCATCCATGTGCGCCTTCTCCACCACCAAGTCCTCCTCCCCGTCGCCATCGCCATCAGCATCGTCATCATCATCCAGCCAACGCGGGCCTAATGGCAATTGCAGCGACTGTCGTGCCGTCAGGTGTGCAGTCGTCGGTGGTGGCGACAGTATTGAATAGGGCACAATATCCACATCCTGCAGGCACCGGTTGCTATCCGAGCTGCTGCTCGGATTAGTGGGTATGGGCGGCAGCGGCAGATCGGCCAGTTCTGTATCGGGTACGGCGGCGGCGGCGGCAGCAATTGCGGGCAAGGGCAAGGACAGTGGCAAGGACAGGGGCAAGGGCAGGGTCAGGGGCACAAGCGCTGACACATTGCCCTGATCGGCTGTGTCGCCAGCCGGGGCGCCAGTGACCAGGCCAACCAGACTGCCGACATCCAGTGGAGTGGTTGCCGTGGCCAAGCTCGGATTTTGAAATAAATGCCGCGACAGTTCTTCCGGGTCGGAGAGGAGCTTAGTTGGTATAATGGGCGCATGACTGGCCAGCGTATGATAATCGATGGCCGTCGGCTCCACCGGCCGTGCCACAATCAGACGCACCTGAGCTCCGGTCTGACGAAGAACTGTGGCCACCTGCTCCGAGCTGAAGCCGCGTAGATTTACATCGCCAATCTGCAGCAGATGATCGCCCACCTGCAAACGCTGATCACGCTCAGCGACGCCGCCCGGTGTCAGCGCCTTAATGACCACGCCCGTGCTGCGACCGCCCACCAATATAAAGCCCAAGCCGTTGCCATCATTGATCAAATCGATAACCTCCACCTGCGACCATTCGGTGCTCAACACCATGACGCCGCTCTAAGACCAGCTGCTCCTGCTGCTGCTGCTGCTGTTGCTCCTGCTTTTGCTACTGCTCCAGTAAATTCTGTACTTCTGGGGTTAACTGTGGCGCCGCTCGAGCTTGCTGCTAACATGACCGCTGGTGGTGCTGTTGGGCAATATTGTTGCTGTTGCTGGTTGCGGGTTACTGATTGCTGGTTGTTGTTGCCTTAGTCGTTTTCACTTACGTATATTTATTGTACATATTGAAGTTATTGGACTTATTCACCTTCACCGCATTCAAATAATGATTATGGCCTGGCCGGATAACGGCTCCTGGCACCGTCGACGCCAACAACATTATCGACTACAGCCGCACGCAGCCCGCAAGACGCCTGCAATTATTGGAGAAATACTTTAAGTGCTGGCAGCGCGGCGCACGCCACGTATACGCAACGTTCGTATACGCAATGCCGTGTGCGCGGTGTGTGAAACGTGAATTCCAATTGCTGTCCAGAGCAGACGGCGGCCAACGACTGCTTCTCGTTTTTTTTTTATTTCTTTTTATTATTTTTTTTTCATATTTAGTTTATTTATTATATTTTTTGTGCGTTGCTGTTGCTTAGGCAGCCGCGTGTTTGAGCGCCTTTTTAATGGCATCTTTTTTGCACGATTTCGTAATTTACATGCACACACACGCACGGCCGCACACCTACACCTACACCAACACACACACACACACGCGCGCGCACATTCGCTTATGTGGAGAAAATGGTTTTTGCCGGCCGTTCACGTGCGACGCATGTTTGACATTCAACTGCGACGAAACATACCACCTCCTCGCCTCCCTCCCCCTTTGGCGGGCAATTAATTTGGAAAATGAGAAAAACTGTCGGTGTACGCGACAAGTTAGCGGGCTTTAGTACGGACTACTCTGTACTACTATGTGCCACACACACGCACACGCACACACACACACACATAGACAGAAACAAATTGCAGCCAACGGTAATTCGAATAAGCTAACAATAAACGGCAACTTACATATACACATGTGTGTGTTGTGTGTTTTTTTGTTGTCGGTTTTTGGACCGAATTGAACTGAATTTGGAGCAGAATTCGAAGCAAAATTTTGCTGTGCTTTCTAATCATAGTGCGACGCGTCTAGAGATGAGCCATAATTGAGCGTTAGGAATTTTAATAGGTATTTAAGTAGTTTACTAAGTTTTCTAGTCATATGCTAATAGTTCTAATAACTATGACAGATTTCATTTAAAAGCAGGCGAAGTTTTTATATGCATTACAAAACTTCTAGAACTAAAAAGAAGATTTATTAAATGGAATTATATTGAACTAAAAGTAAAAAGAAAAATTATTGTGATTCGCTAATAACAACTATTAACCTTAATATTAATAACAAAAATAATAAGAATAATTAAAATAAAATTATAAATAAAATAATAATTATAATTATCACAATAATAAATTTAATAATGCCGCAATGCAGCCGCAATATATCGAAAAATTCCAGGTTAAAACAAAATTGTTTTCAATTTTTGTTTTTAATAAACAAACTTAGTAAGTCCCGGAGCTCTAGCTCCTAATAAGCATGCCTGAAACTAACAAGCTTTAACGTTAAGTGCCAATTCAGCATCAATTCATGAAAATATAAGCTATTATTGCAATCAATATCAGAAAAAAATAAATTTCTTTCAAGTTTCGAAAAGTCATATTTTTATTTGGTCAATAACCTAGGCAAATAATTTTCAAGTTAAGCAATATTTTCATTCGCTAGCAAGATAAATGTGTAGCTCACTTTTAGTAAATTTTCTCATTTAAGAAAAAATTAAATTTCATTGAATGAGATGTATTCAATAGTTTTTTGAATTTGATAACAGGGACAAGAATAATATAAATAAAAATAGAAAAATGTATGTATATAAATATAAAAAAAATAAAAAAAAATGGTAAATATAATAAATAAAATTTATGCATAGATATATTATTTATGCTATCAATAATTATATGTGAAGCATAACTGAATAAAATAATTATAAGAGATGGTTTATGCCTATAAGCTTCACATCAATATTTTTTAGAATCTTTAACTTCGGAATTGAAACTGCCAGATTTTGACAATCGTAAACAAATATTCAAAATGAGCACAAAATACACTAACTACTAACTTTAATAGTCAAGGAGTTCGTTTTAAGCACATAACTGAGAAAGATTCAGCACAGTTTCCACAGTTGGCCCTGGTCATAATGCTCATCTCTATGGGCTGCTAACGAGTTGCAGCTGATCGGTGGCATGATGCCATACATTTTTTGTGTTTATGACGCTGGGCAACGCTTGCCATTGACTGCAGCTGTCAATTCAGCGCTGATTGACTTTGCGTTCAGCCAGGCACGGATTGGCGCACGGGGCGTATGATTAACGCGCGCGCCTGTTTGGCTAGCATTGTAGCCGTTGGCCTTTGTCCGCTGTCCGCTGTCCGTTGTCCGTAGTCCTGACTGCTCCGGCTGGTTTGCTTTAGCTTTTGGTCATTTGTTTGCAGACCTGCTGGCCCCACTGCCCAAGCAATGTGCTTCATTTAGCTTGGCTGCGGTTGACGAGCACGCAAGTGGGCCGGGGGCCGGAACTGAAGGCGAGTACCATGGCGTGGACGACAGCGTGGACTTTGGCATCCCAGCCCGTTGCACAAAAAGTAGGCCAAGCGCGTTTGAAGTTTACAATGCGTCTACTTGTGTGTGTGTGTGTTGGGGTGGATTTGTTGCTTGTGCGTGTGACCGTGTGTGTGTGTGTGTAGGGCCTGCTATTTTTATATGTCACAAATTACGGCCTGCTCCAGCTGCGGCTCCAACTGCTGCTGCTGCTGTGCCAGTTTTCACATTCTCATTTTCATTTTCATTTTATTGCCGCTGGCCACTGTTGCTTCTTACGCACTTCAAGTTGCTGCTGCTGCCGCTGACCCACTGAGACTTATTAGCCGGCGCAGCGTTTTGGCCCGCTCAAGTCAAGTGACAAAAATCGATAAATGGCAACAACAACAACATCATATAGTAGAAAAATGGGCCAGATAAAGCCGCAGCCTGGCGTGTTTACTCCTTTCTGTTTTTTGTTCTTGTTGCTGCTGCTGCTGTGCTCAGGCCTACGCCTACATGAATGGCCACGCCCACGCCTACGCCTAATGAATTTGACTTTCGACTGCTCTATTTGGTTCATAGTTGTTTGTTATTCTTGTTATTCCTGACTTGGTTTCCGCCGCAGACTGAGGCAAGCTTCCAGCCGCATGACTGTTGCTGTGCGGTTGTGGCTGCGCCTTTTGACCTACCTAAGGGCGACGATGGCGACGGCTTTTAGCCAAATTGCGCGAGCATTGCCTGCAGTTTGGCACAAAAAAAAAAAACACAAAAAATAAAAAAAGAAGAAACTTGTGAACTTGCGGGCAAAAGTCGTGCACGCAATTACTTAGCAGTTGCCGTCGCCGAGCCAAAGCCAAGTCAGGCTAGTTATATTCTTGCTAACAGCTAACAACGCGGCGTATGAGCAATACCGCAGTTGTGTTAAAGCCACGCACACACAGCGCGTAGCGAGTTTTTCTATTGATTTAACAAGCGACGATGCAGCCAAACAAAAGGCGAAACTGTGTGGCTAAGACCCGCAGCAATCGGAGCTGATCTGGGCCACAGCCACAGCCACAGCCGCAGCGTGTGAAGTGTGTGTGTGCGTGCGTGTGTACGCGTGTGTGTGTTGACTCAATTTGAACTGCATTCGCAGCTGTTGCATATTATTAATTTATTTTTAGGGCCGGCTGTTAATTAGCTTTGTGCTTGGCTTCCCGTTTTGGCCATTTTACTCACTTTATCAACACATTGCTCTTGGCCAGCTTAACCAGGCTTGGCAGCTCTGGCTCCACTTCGTTTTATTTACTCCGTTTTTTTTTTTTATTTATTTTTATTTTTTTTTTTCACTTTTTTGTTTTAATTCTAATCTTTGTGCTTTCTGCTTTTTATCAGTTTACGCGCGCATTTTCCGGCCCGACAACACGCCCGCACGCGACAAAGCTGCTTGGTCAAATGTATTGCCCGCTGGCCAGATTGCCTTTGCTATGCTGTGCTCCGCTCTCTGCTCTCCGCTCGCACGTGGCGCCTCCACGGGGTGGCCGTGCTCCCTGCGACGGCGCTGTGTGCCGCTTGGCGCTCTCGCTTCCACTCGACGCTCGGCATTCGGGCCAATATTTACATATGAAGTTGACGCGAGGCGGCAGTTGGCGGCGCCTGAAGTTGCCGCCGCGTAGCATTCATTCAACTATTGCCATTGTGGGGAGAGTGCGTAAGAAAGCTTTTCGCCACAGTGCCGCTGTCTAAGATGATTTTCAGGGGGGGTTTTAGAGCATAAATAAAATATATCCTATAATAAACCGGTTTTTCCAACCATTTTATTTACCTAATCATATTTGGTAGATGTACAGGCGATTATAAATATAAAATTGCAAGATTTAAACCAAATCCTGGATTTTGGATTTGACAAACAAAACTCACGAGCCGAACCTTTAGCCACGGGCCGTGAACCGAATTACCGACTATCTTTTTTAGATTTGCGGCTAATTCGCATTCTGATCAAAGTTTCCAATAAATAAATTTGAACAAATTGATAGAGTCTACAAATTTTGGTAAAAGAAGGTTCAGGAATTTTACTAGTCAGGCACTCCCGACTAGAGTACTCTAACTTTTTCCAATAGTTAGTTTTATTTTCAAAATTTAGCTCACATGTTCCAAAATATAGGCAACTTTCTTGAACTTAAATATATATAAAAAAAAATTAAAACTTTTTTCTCTAAAAAAGCCTTTTTTCCAAACCTTAAATACACAAGTTTTTGGTGGAAGAGATAATTTTAGTATCTCGGTTTCTTGCTTGAGTACGCTAGAAATCTAATTTGTCGCTAATTTCTATCTGCTGTGAAAATTGTGAACCACGTCTCAAATGATTTTTCATATAGATCCTTGGAAATGAAATTGAGCGCGAAACGTCACCCACCAAATCTTTGACCCCCCCCCCCCCCCCCCCCCCCCCCACTTCCACCCAGGAGGAATGCATTTTTCGAAAAGTAAGAAACATCCCTCAAATGAACTTTGATCCACAAAGATCTGTGAAAATGAGTTGGAGGACGATCGGAAAGTGACCGAAAACTTTCATACAAGCTTGTTACGCGGCTTTCCCAAACATGCGGGTAGAATTTCCTGAAACCCCGTCTTAATGTGCACCTTCATCACATAAAGGAACTACAGTTAAAATTTCAGCTTCCTAGCTCTTACGGTTTGGGCTGTGCCTTGATCACCAATTAGTCTGTCAATAAGTCAGTCAGGCAGGACAAACAGTTTTATATACAGAGATAAATATATTATTTGTTTTCTCGTCGTATATGCTTAATATGTTTAAAGCATTATTTGGACAACAAGTGTGTTTCTTCTGGCTGGCGCTAGGGCAATAAACAAACCTTCTGCGCCTGCTCCGTTGTCCACGGCAACCACGGCCAGCAAGGACTACTGAAATCCAAAAATAAATGCTACCAATTAGCTGAGTTCCACCTGCCAGTGACTAGCAGACGGCTGGCCGCAACACCTTAAGACACTCCAACGTCAAAGTGAAGCACAGTCAAGGTGTTGGAGAACTTTTAAACAATCAAGTGCGGCGGGTGTGAAGAAAGCAGCTAACGAAATAAATGGAAAACAAATAAAATATTTATTGTTCGCAACTATCGTTACATAGCACCTGCCACAAGCTTAACCAGAAGCAGTGGGCACAATGGGTTCAGTGCACCGTTTGGTCGCCCCGTCCCACATTCCAGTGAAATGTAGAAAACGTAGTGAGAAATCAAACTCAGAAAACCCAGTAATCGGCGAACGATGTGTCCCGGACATGGGAATATTCTACATTAAATTTCAGTGTACCCGAAACTATTCTCAATAATACGACTCGATAAAGACATTTATATTTGTTCCTATTATTTTACAAAAATAAAAAAAATCTGGATCGTAACGCAAAAAAACATAAAAATCACACTGATCAAGCCGGAAAATAGTATACGCCGCAGTACAACAAAATGACAACGCCGCCGGTCAACTCTGAGGAGGACTTCTACATGGATGAGCCATTTGATGATGAGTCGCCGTCCGAGGTTGAGGACGGACAGGAGTACGAAGAGGGAGAGCCAATTGAGGAGCAGAGCGATTCTCAAAGCGACACCGATGTCGAGGCCGAGTTTCTGCGCGGTAATGTATGTGCAACACAACAGATTCAGCTGCAGGAGCTGACCGTCAAAGAGTTTAGTCTCAACCCTATGCCACTCCCACAGCCCCATGCACGTCGTCAACAGATCTTTGCCAAACGCTCAAGCGGCAGCAGCGGATTTGCACGCCAAACCAAAATGACCTACGCCAGCTCCTCGTCCGAGGACGAATCACGGGTGGTCATCACCAAGACGGTGGTCGAAGTAAATAATTCAATGCAGCTGACAGATGATGAAACCATGTCGGTGCGCACACTAATACCAAACAGCGGTAAGAACGATAACGGCAATCTAACCGAGCTGGAATTGGACGATAATGAATTAACTGAAGTGGAGGACGAGATGGAAAATGAGATGGCCGAAGAGGAGGAAATTGTGTCGGATAATGAATATGATGACAACGATTTGGCATCCGAGAAAGATGATGTGGAAATAGGGCAATTGGAAGACGACGAAGAGCAGGAGGAAGAAATCGTTGATGTTCAACTAAAGCAATCAAACAATGATCTAGTCGATGTCGAAGATGCCAACGAAAGCGACACGGAGGACACCGCTCAAAACGACCCAGCAGACAGTGAGCTGGGTGATATGACTATGCCAGATAATCAAAATGTGACAAAACGACAAAAAAAGAAGCGTGGACATCAGTACCATCCGAATTTATTAAGGAAACCCATTGTGGATGAAGATGCACCACTTGTGCCCAAGCTGGAAAATATCTATGATGACAACGGGGAAGAGGTTTATAATCTGGACGAGGATGGACTTGCAGCAGGTGATCCGCTAAATGTCAAGTTTTTGGAACAGCAAATGACACAAATGTCGGAGATGATTATGAAAACATTCCGTCTGAATGGCGGCTCCGCAGACAACAGTGCACTGGAACAGCTGGCTTTGGCCACAAAACTGATGAAAAAGCAAGGCAAGAAACTGTCCGAATTGGATGTGGATGACGAGGCTGACTCACTGGTGTCTGACAAAACTTCAGCTACGGTGCTCTCGGAAAAAGTAGGACGTGGCAACTGCCGTTGCCCGTCAAGCACAGACATTAATGAGTCCGAGCAGGATATGTTTCTGATGGATGAGTGCGGCCAGGGCGATGGCCTGTTGCGCTATTCACATCATAAACAATCCCAATCGGCTCGCATCAACAGCCTGACACCCAGCAGTTTCAACAGTGACAACAGTGGCTATCATGCTGAAGTTCGGCGTCCTCGTTCCGTTGCCTCCTCGGAAGTCAAGTGAGTAGCGTCCAATTCAATGCCTTTGCCCTTATTCATATGTACAACTATCTTTCTCCAGCTACAAGAATTTGGGACGCAAGAGCTTCAGCTTCACCAATCCACAAGTGCGCGAGATTGAGCGACAGAATAATATTTTGCTGAAGAAAATGATGAACGTTAAGCCCACAATTAAGCCAACCATTAACGCAACCAAATCCAACACTAATCTGCAAGCAAAGGTGAGTAAATCTATGATGGAATCTGAGTATTTGATACAACCTACTTTACAGAAGCAGGCGCCACCGGCGCCACGCTTGACAAGCGCTGCGGTTAATCGAAAGAAATATCAACGACAGATCGACTTGGATAATGATGTACTCAAGCGCAAGCTGGAAGCGGTTGGATCTCGCCGGCCCATATTCAAGTGAACGCGCATCTGTTCGTTAATATAATTATTATAATTTCAAAAATGTTCAAAAGCGAATTTACCAAATTAAAATTTAATGCAAGTTAAGAGCTGTAGTAAAATTATATAAAATTATTGTGGCGTATAAGGTCGTATCAGAAGTACAAATAATAAGTGACATTAACAAAAATTGGGTTTTAGTATAAAAGAATACATGTATAATAAAAGGTGCAATACAATTGGAAATCAAATTTAAATAACTAATTGAACATTCAGGGTTATGCTTAAAAAAACATGTATAATAAAAGATTGCACCTCTAGCAGAATTGGAAATAAAGATTAAATATCTAGTTGAAAATTAAGCTGGTTTCGCATACATCTGGTTTAAAGTGTCACCTCGTTGATTTTGGCCAAAAAGGTTTCGCCCAGCGCCTTGACAGCCTTGAATGCCGCATCGCCATTTTGCTCCTTAAACTCAGACTCATTTTTCAGCTTCGTCTTCTCGCGCTGCTCTATGTCACGATAGATGACTTGACCAATCTAAGATGTTTTAGCATTAGGCAATGTTTGAAATTGTAAACTTACTTCTATACTCACATAGACATCTATGGCCGCATACATCAGTTGATTCTCATCCAGCGGTATCACGTGCCATTTGCTCATGCGCACCTTTTTGCTCTTGTCCATGGCCTTTTTGGCAATGAAGTTTGCCAATCGCTCCAGGCTCCAGCGACCGCCTGTCTCGCAAACCTCATTGCACCATACGCCCAGATCGATGCATTTCTCGATAAGGGGCTCGGCCGCGACCTCGGGAAAGTCGCGCTGCAGCTTCCGAAAGTCGCTAAACAGTCTTGATTCAGAGTATATCCATTTATTTTCTCGATATAGTAGACTTACGCCTTTATATTCACGCCATGCAGCCGCACCTTAGAATGGTTTAACAGTGCAACCAGGGCAGCTGGGATCCTCTTCAGTTTGCTTAACTGGTACACATAGCAGCAACGTTCCTCGACGCATATTTGTATCACGGATGATTTGCCGGGTCCGGTTTGAAAAGAGAACGGCCACTCCATGTCAAATGCCATGGGCACAACATCCGCTTTGGTTTGCTTTTCTACCCATTGCCTGCAAAATATAAATTATTAGCTTGTACTTTCCAATGAGGTGCCTGCACTTACATGACTTCATCTGCTGAGGCTGCAATCTCGTGGGATTCGGTATAGTATTTGATGGCTCCGCGATACTTTATAAATGGCAACTTCTCTGGAATTTCTTTCTCCGGCGAAGGCGTTCCGTCCTCAGCCATTGATTGCGTGCTGCGCGTCAAGCGAGCGCTTCTGCGCTTGGGTGGGTTTTCTGTATCGGCGTTTTCCTTGTCCTTAATCTAAAATACACAATCATATTTATTTATTCTTTATAGATATGTAGTGAGTTACTGACTATTTCCGGCGTATCTTGATTCTTCCGTTTATTAGCTGTTGCTATCTTTCCCTTGGCGTCTTTGTTTTGCTTCGTTGTGTTTTCCTTAATAGGTATTTTCTTCAACGAAATTAAATGAAAATAAGTTTGCGTTTCTTTTGTTTGTTAAGTTATGCATACCTGCTCCGTTATATCATTATTTTTGGATTTTGTAGGCATTTTGATTAAATATTGATCCATTCTCTTTTAATATTTATGTTTACTATGAATTGCCGCCAATATATTTGACAGTGCTGAAAAGCGCAATATTTTAGCATCTTTTAGTTTCCGCACACACACAGCATTAAATTTAGCGATATGTAAAAATATCGATAGACAAGCATGAAAATCAATTAAAACACTATTGAAATTGCCATGAGGTCGTTTTAAGCACATTTAAATTATCTTAAGACTAATGTAAAAAAAATAATAGGTAATTAACTTGATAAATATTATAAATAGTCAAATGCGGGATGGCTTATAATCGATAATGTTTGGAAGCAGCTGTGTTCTGTTATTATGCTGTTGTCGGTAAGCGGCAAGTAGCCGAATTTGAAGCCATTTTAACAGCTGTAGCTCAAATTTGAGCCGTTTTGCCTTTACAGACTGATTAATAACAGTTCGACCAAATGTTAAGCTGATTGTTGCCAAAAACATATGTTTTTGCCCAAAGACCGGCAGCATTTTAGTTGTTTTGTTTTCTTCAATTAATAGTTAAAATTTATAAAAGAAAGAGCATCAAAATGTCCACAACTGTTGGTGCCCACTATATATCGGAGAAGATATCAAAGGTGCGTTGGCTGCCAGAGAAACTGCAGCAGAGCGAACGCTTCCTGACCGGCAGTTGGGACATGGACAACAATTTTGTGCGCGTGTGGCGTCTGCACGCCAATCCATACGCACAGGGTCTGGAGCATACACCGCGCTGCAACGACAAAGTGGCAGTCGAGGGTGATGTCACAGGCTTGGAGTTTCTCAACGATGATACCTTCGCTGTGGGCTGCGCCGACGGTAAGCACTGAAACCTGATGAAAAGCAGTGCATTTCTATGTTTCTATACTCTCGCAGGCCACCTCAGTTTGTTTCACGTGCAGCGAGCCGTTGAGGAAGATCAAATTCAGCGCAAGGCACGCAGTGAACGCCTCCACGAATTCAAATGCAGTCGAACTAGGGCACCTTGCACAGCAATCGCTGTATACGGCACCGACATAGCCACTGTTGGCGAGGATGGACGCCTCAACGTTTTGAGTGCCAACAATTTGAAGCAGGTGAAGCGCGCCATCGACGCGGACAGCATGGCACTCTTGGCCGTATCCTATGTTAGCCAGCATCAGCTGGTAACCGCCAATCGAATGGGCGTCATTCGCATGTTCGATGTACGCACAGCCGGCGATGGACAGCCGAAAGCCTCGTTTATGGCCGCCTGCCAGGACACGAAGAGCTCGAACTTTGTCTCTGCGATGGCCACACATCCCATGCAGCAGCACATACTCATCTGTGGCAGCGAGGAGGGCTCTATTACAGTCTGGGATCTGCGCAATTTGGATTACCCGGCCTCATATTTGAGCGCACACAATAGCCCCATCACCGATATAGGATTTCATCGCCAGGATCCGTCCAAGCTGTTCAGTGCAGCCGAGGCCGGTGAGGTGTGGATGTGGTCGGAGAAGAAGCAGCACTTCGATGCCAGCCAAAACGATGGCAGCAGCGCCTGGCTCTGCGGTGATCGTCTGCGCACAATGGTCAATGTTGATGGCGTCCTGACCAACATACGCAAAGCCGTCAATTCATTCGACGTCCATGGCTCAAGGATGGTCTGTGGCAGCGATACGGAAGCCGTTTATATCGTAAATGATGTTTAAACATTGCTCGATTTCTACTGCATTTAAAATACATTTGTACTTCTATTATATTCCTGTTTTTTGTTATTCTGACTTTTATAGACCAAATCCAAGGAAATGTTGGAGGTAGCATAACTTTGTAGATGTTTGTTATTGTCGAGCCAAGGTGTGTTGAAAAACTTACTTCTTTGGTCAACAAAATATTTCCTTTGGCAAAGCGTATGTTAGACCTCTAGGAGGGAGTTATTTTGTGACGAAATATCTAGACATCTGCCTAGTATTAATATATATGTATATTCTTGACCTGTATTTACAAGCAAGCCCATATAAAGATATTCTGTCTATTTCTATGCAAGCTACTTTTTCAGTTCTGAAGCTTTCTTTATAAAATCTATCTTTATCTTTTTGTTAGAGAAAATAAGTTAGAAATAATCGGATAGAGCCAAAAAATCCCTATAGTTGCCATAGAAAATAAGAGTTACAATATGAATATAAAAACTTGTTTTTGATTTCAATGCTTATACCATAACACACAGCACCTCTGACAAAAATTTGGTCAACAATTGAGTTTTTGTTGAAAACAGAGCTTAGTATTGAATGGCATTGTAAGTTTGACAAATGTAATGTCTGCAAGGGTATTTAATAATCGGCATTGCAAGAATTACAATTCTATCGTGTTTTATAGACTTGTGGCTGTTCAGATTTGACAACATCTTGGGATAACCATGCTTAAAGAAATCAATTTTAAATTAGTTAACGACTGTTTGTATATTTTATGCATTTAATTTCAGTATACGTAAAATTGGCTTAAATCAAAGCACCTGACTTATACATACTATTTATGCCTACTAATACAACTACATCTAAATATACAATGGGTGCTGCTGTGTAAAGAGAAACCAAGAAAATGAAGTTACAAAATTATTATTAGTCACGGCAAATTTAGAATATAATTGTTAAACATTTTAATCGAAAATTTTCAAATTTTGATTTCAAGAACATCTTCGAAATTGAACAAATTATATTCCAGATCAAGCTGTTTACAGCTGAATATAAACAAAAAAATATTTTGTAATTTCCGGTATTTTAAACGAATTTTTATACGTTTTTTTATGGTTTTTCCCAGAAGTTGTGATTTTCAAATGATTTTGAAAAATGAACTTTATATTCATAGTTCTATTGCCTAGGTTTGTGTAGACTTAAGGTAATATTATTAGTTGGCTAATTTTGGATAGATTTATGCGTGTTTTTCAACTAACATATACATACACATACGAGTTATAAACTAATGCGATATTTTGTATATATGCTATGTGAATAATAAATACAAAATGATTTTTATATACAACTAAGCACTTAGGCCTAGATTAGTTTTTGTTTTTATCTTTCGTGTTTGTCGATTTCAATTGAACTTTGAGCATTTACAATTGCATTTCAATGTGGTTTTTAGAGAGCTGAAGTCAAGTAATAATATTAACTAGAACTGCGATAATATGTAAAGCCTATCGAGGCTGCAAAACCGTTTTCGAACTCGAACCGAATCGAATACTGAAACCCGATTTTAACATGTTATTTAAAAAAATGATTTGGTTCTTGTTAAAAAAAAAAAAAAAAACACTTTATGGAGAGCCAGCCTCAAGGCATAGATAATTTGGGTCAACCCTTGCACTTATCTAAGATTATTTGTTTGAATAGGGCTTAAACGAATCCATTTTATATATAAAATCATATACGACAATAGCAAAGAACCATTATAGATTACAAATTAAATTGTTTCAGTAATATTTTGAAACTATGTGAAATATCTAAAACCTGGCCTAATGGATGTGTTCAACCAGATTCACGAGACAAAACTAAAAGCAGAAATCTGATTCAAACGAATAATTAAATCGTGGACGATTGTTTTTTCGGTTTTGCAGCCCCAAAACTAACACATATATCTTTTTTTGAATGCTTTCTGGAACAGTATTATCTCCAGGAAGTGCTCTGATTTGGTTTTTCAGAGACCACTTCAAGTTCTGCGGGCTCTAATAGAAACGCTCGAATTTGGGTGGCTTGTTGAGTGCGCAAAAATAATACCCTGAATAGTTTTGTGTAGCGCCGGGTGGAGTATAGTCGCTGATGCTGTAATTCCCGTAGTCATAGTTGGCCATATGAGCGTGGGCGTGGTGATGCATGTGGTGTGGGTGCGTATGTGGATGCGCATGTGGGTGCGGGTGCGCGTGCGGGTGCGGGTGCGGGGGATGATAATGCTGAAAACCGCCTGCACTGCGCGGCTTTTGTCATGTAATGAGACCGCTTCCAGCCCCGGCAGAGCTGTTAGCACCGCTGCCGCTGCCGTTGCCGCTACCACCGCTAGCGCCGCTTCCATTCGCGTTGTTGCCATGAACGCGCATGTGCCGATTCAGGTTGCCCGATTGCGAGAATCTGTGCGGCAAGAGGTGTGGGAGGTGAGTTATGCTGCGGTTCCAGTAGCTGTTTCCAGTTGAGGATTTTGATTTGAACTCACCTGAGCAAGCACAATTTGCATTGGTAGGGCTTCTCGCCGCTGTGGATGCGCAGATGTTTGGTCAGCGTGGAGCTGTCCGAGAAGGACTTCTTGCAGGATGAGCAGCGATAGGGCCGCTCTCCGGAATGGGTTCGCATGTGCGTGGTGACGCTGGAACTTTGCGAGAAACGTCTATCACAAATGGGACAGCGGAACGGCTTCTGCCCCGTATGTGTGCGTACGTGGGCCGTCAAATTGGCGGCCTGTGAGAAGCTCTTGTTGCAGTCCGGACAGCGATACGGCCGCTCCCCGGAATGGGTGCGTAAGTGCGTCTTCAGTGTGCTGGGCCGCGCATATGTCTTGCCGCACAGGCGGCACAAATTCGGCTTCATATCGCCACCGGCGCTGCCCTCACCATCCGCATCGGCATCTCCATCCTCGATGCTCTCCTCCTCATCCTCAAAAGCAGCCAGACCCAGACTGAGAGCGGCTGCCTGATAGCTGGGACTCTTGTGTGGCGGCGTATAGCCCTGGCCAACACCTCCTGTCCCATAGTAGCCCAAGGCAGCTGCAGTACTGGAGGCGGGCGGCGATGGCGACTCCTTGTCGGCCAGCGAGGGAAGTGCGCCTAAAGCTGTCGGTGGCGGAGCGCGAAAGTCAGCTGTAAAGGAATAGGTGGCCGAGGCTGGATAGTGCGTAGGACTCAATAGCGGCGGATATAGCACATTGACGGCCGCCGAGGAGTTGTTCGGTGGCGTCCAGTTCATTTGGGAGCACTGCATGGGCACTGGGCCGCCGTCGGCTCCATAGCCGTGATGCATGGTCATGTTCATGCTCACATTGACACTCATACTGGGATACATGGGCGGTGCGGTCGCATTGGCGGCAGCCTCGTAGTAGCAGGCGCTGCCTGAACCAGATCCACCGCCACCACCAGGACCATTGCCACCGCTGCTGTTGTGGTTGTGGAGCGCGTTACCACCGTGCGATGCCTGGGTCAGTGCCTGCTGCATGTGCTGGGACTGTAGCTGGTGAGGATGTGTGGATGACTGCGATTGCTGCTGCTGACTGCCGTTCGGTGAGATCAGCATCTGATGCGGATGCACGGTGTAGGAGAGTGACGCCTGATGCGGGTTGCTTGCGAAATTATAGGACGCGCCACAGGGCGAGAACGGGAATAGGCTGGGCAGCGGATCAATGTCCAGCGGCGGTAGCCCGGGAAATGTGGAGGCCATCTCGTCGGTGCTCCAGTAGCTGTTGCCGTTGCCAGTAAGCGCAGCGCCGTTGTTGTGATTGCCGACACCGCTTCCAGACGCTGATAGATTGCTAGCCGGCGGTGTTGTATTTATCTGACTGCCCAGCACGCCAATCGTTGGATCGAAACAGCCGCCGCAGTCGAAGTCGCTGCTGGTCAGGGAGGAGATGGGCAGGGCGGTGTTGCCTTGGCAGGATAAACAGCCGACGCAGGATGCAGCGCACTCTTGCTAAAAAGGCGAGAGATACAAATGTGAATCTCTTCAAATGACCGAGCATGCAAAACTTTTGAAGCGCGAGAAAAATACCTGCGGACTGTCCAGTGCCAGGCCGAATAATGGATTGTTGGGCACGTAGCCCGTTTCTGGTTCCACAGGACCTCCGTTTGAGACATCGCACGATATGTACATAGCTCCACCCTCTTGATCTTCCAGGGAATCTGCGCAGGTGTGCCCAAAAATAAAAAGCGGAGAGCAAATCATTGGAAAGATGCTTGAAAGCGACGCGTAGTTGGCAAATGCATTTCACACAGTGCACAACTAGCTGCGGCCCACTGTGCGCCGCGCAAAACTCCGCCCCTAAACACACACAAGCACACACAGGCACACACTCACTCGCACACGCACACGCACACATACACAGAAGCGCGCAAATGAGTAAACGCGACGCCATTTGCTTTGCTTTTGCCTATGCTCTCAGCTCTCAATTCGCAGCGTGGGGCGAGTTTGCTCGACTGCGTGGAATTCAAGACTTACCCAGAATTATGTTCAAGAGTTTGGAACCTTTATATAACAATCCCATGACATGACTCCAGTTGGTCTTGGCGTTTTATTTCTCGTTTTTCTACGTTTCATTTTGCTGCATCAATTGCCATTTCCAGCTGTAAATGAACACAAATAAGTTCCCATTTATTGACGTATGCAAATTTATAAATTGAGAGCTCAGATGAAAGTATAGCAGTATAAACTGTATGCCCAAAAAAAGGCTTAAGGACACATAGATTAAGATATCAAAACTAATTAAATCGGAAACTTTGATGAACAACACTTTTTACACTGGACCAGAAAAAAAAACTTACTTTCTTAAAAGAAGAAGATAAAGAACTCGAAATCTACAGTTTCTGTTTAAAGGAAATAATTTTGTAACAATTTTCGGCAACCGAGCTGTTCAGGCCATAGGAATCGAATTGAAATTCGAGGGAGGTGTATGTATTTATTATTTTGTTATTATAATACTATAACCAAGGGCCATAGTTCGATTTAGTCGATTTACTTTATATACATAGCTTATTTATAAAAAATATACTATATAAACTATATTTATAAAATACTAGCTCTTACGGTATGGGCTGTGCGCTGATTACCAATCAGTCAGACAATGAGTCAGGAAAAATACTTTTAAATACATATAGAGATATACTATGTATGCTATATTTATGAAATATATCACATAAGCCGTAAACTAACAAAAACCCGAGCGTTGTTTTATTTCGGGTTGGAAATATGGGCGAAATATATGGCTGGTCCCATATATATTAACATATTGTCCAATCCAATTTATTAATGCTTGGCTAAACGTTTTTCCAAATTATGTATTTCGTTTTTGCAAGTTTTAATAATATATACCGATTTAGTATTCGATATATAAAATATTCCAAGTGCTGCTTTTAGAAAATTCAAACACTCATATCAGCTGAAGATTTCACTTTTTTGAAAAACTATGTAGTCAAGTCATAAATTTGCTAAATTTATCACAACGCGAGCTAGAACGTTTTGCTAAAGTTAACTTTTTTAAATTATAACTTCAAGCAAGATATTCAATTTCCCCTGTTCCACCATATTCCTTTTGATCTAAGTATCTCCATCCAGTACAAAGGGTTCTTAAGCAGACCAAAATTTGGTCTAATCTGTCGAATATCGATAGACGCATTAACCTAACCCAGCCTACGCTATAGATATTATCTTCTAGGCAAATATTGTCTTTTTACTGTGTTTTAAAGTTACTTTGAGATAAGACATTCTATTGAAGTTTCTTCTATTTATAATATAGTATAATTAAATAGTGTATAATTTAAATGCAAGTTTTTGATATACACGTATTTAGATCTTAAAACAATAAACTTGAATTATTACAAACTAATTTCAATCAAATTTTGTTGCAGTTTTAAGTATTTATTCACAGCAAACAACTTTGTTAAGAGAAGAATCTTATATTTTGCTTAAATCCATTTTTTTGTTTATCCAGTTATTGAAAAGGATTTTGAGGCACAATATGTTTATAGCATAAACAGGTTTAATTTTTTTTTTCACCTTGTTAAATATATAGCTCGCATGGCCAATTCACAGCACTTTATATATATTAGATGTTTATTATAATTAATATTAAATATATATATATATATATTATATTTATATCACAACTTTATGAATTTCGGTAAATAACTTCAATTGACGGTCGCTAAGCACACGAATGTTGGATTCTCCTTTTGTATTTGGGAATTGTTGTTTCAACTTTAGACACTCAGCTAAAACGCGGGGGCGGGCGGGCAATTATCGACTATCGGCGACGAGCATAAGACTGCAACTAATTGTCAGTCTCGGCTCGAAGTCTCTCGACCGATATTGGCGACGATTCTCGCGTCAGGCGTCAGCGTCAAAGCGACAACCACAGAAAAAATGCTCACTTAATTACAAACCAGCGACAAAAAGGGCGCAAAAGGCAACCAACAGCAACACACACACGCACACACACAACACACACACACACACACACTACTCAATGCACACAACAGATACATTGACACAAACTGCCCAACTACATGCCATACTATCACATATGAGAGACCCTTACAGCAGTGTGTTGCTCTTGTTGCTGCTACTGTTGTTATTGTTGTTGTTGTTGTTGTAGACACCCCCTCCCGGCAGCAACCACCGTCGCCAGCAACACCACCAGCACGACCAGTCAGCCAACCAATGCGCTCCGGCCTACGTCTCCGGTATGCCGGCTTTTGCGGCGACTACTGACCCAACCCCCGAGCCCGTCAACGCCCCATCCAATAGGCTCATTCATATGTAGCAGCAGCAGTTTTCAGTAGTTTTTAGTTTGTCACCCAATATCTTTACAGTTCGACACCAGATACCCCCGAGCCGGTGGCCCCCAGGCCTGGCCCAGCCCGGCCCGGCCCGGCCCGGACAGCGACCATTGATCGCCTCTTGAAGCGGCGTCAACTGCAGGCAACGTCGGCGGCTTTCTGCTTCCTTCGTTCCATTCTTTGTGGTTAAACATGTTTGCCTCTGCCACTGTGACAGTCCATCAGTCCATCGTTCTGTCTCACTCACACACTCACACACTCTGGTAGCAACCCTCTGCTTCTGTATCTTGTATCTTGTATCTTGTATCTTTGGCAGCGCTCATTCTCGTTTCTATCGACCAATGACAATTGTATCTGTGCGTGGAGCTCCGCTCGATTTAAGCCCATCGATCGTTGCTCTTTCGCATAGTTACAACAACACGAATTATTTTGCGACATTCGATATTTCGCTTTGTGGTTGTTTTTTTTTTTTATTATTGCAAAAAAGATAAAGAAAATCAGAAAATTATGAAACATTATTATTTTCACAGCCAGTTGTCATGCTAGTGCCTGCGCCTAGTCTAAGCTTGGCAGCAGCTTCTCCTGGCTAGCCTCGGCTTTCTATTTGCAAAGTAACTTTAAGTTCGCACGCAAAAATTGGCAACTAATTAATTCAGTTAAGTGTAAGGCTTTCAGCGATTGCTTGGGTACTACCATATCGTTTTACAATATATTGGTGGGAATTTTCAGCCGAGCGTCGTGTGTGTTTAAAGTTTTGGGCAACATAATCAATGTCTGGCGGAACACTAACCAGTTTGTATGCCCTTTTAATGGGTTTTATAATTTAGTCACAAGCTGTGTAACGCATAGAAGGAGAGAGGTCGTCTAGATATATATGAACAAATGTCGGAATCGGCCAAAAATAGGGTTCTTGCTTGAACTCTATATTATCAAGATATATTGACCAAACGTCATATTTACAGTTCTTATCATAAACCTTATATAAACTATTCCCTTTTTCGAAATATATTGCCAAAAGTCAATGATTACAAGCTTTACTATATTTCTAACATATCTACAAAACCGTTCCAAATCGTGATATATTATATTATATAGTATGTCTTCTACACTCGTAAAACTATTCCATAAAAGCCCACAAGTCTGAAAGGGTATTTAATATTCGGCGTGCCGAAGTCAGCCGTTCTTTCTTGTTGCTCTTGGCTACAACAGCGATCGGTTTCAACTTGTCCAGGATCTGGGCTGAGCTTGAGCCCTCGCTGTGAGCCATGTTTTGCTGCCGATTGTCAGAACGTATTAGGCTCAGGATCTCAGAGCACTGAGCACAGAGCCTGGTAGCTGCTTGCTGCCCTGACTGGGGTATCAATAACAATTTTGGCTTGTTTACGATGATTAGAAATGATCGCTTAGGTTTCAAGTGTGCTCAGGTGTCAGCTGTGCACACCACACGCCCCGCCAACCAAGTGAATTGCTTAGACGCCTTAGTCTTCTATCAATTAACCACAAAATTCCTAAAAATTGTTGCCGTTGCTGGGATTTGTTACATCTACTATAAGAAGGTGGGCAAACATTGCGCGGCCTCGAACCACCACCCTCTTTTGTACCTGTTATCACACCAGCGCATCATCGCTATCAACTGGCCAACGGCACGTGATAGTTGTTTACATTGAGCTGAGCCCGGCCATTATTTATTCAAAGTATTTGCTCCTGGTTTCGGTCCTGCCGCTGGCCCTGCTGCTGGTCCTGCTTCTGGCTTGCACCACAATTGTTGCTGCTGCCCTGACTCCAACGCAAATTCAGTCAGGCATTCGTTTCATTTGCGCTGTGTTCTGTATTCTTTTGCTCGGCGCGGTGTTCTGCGTTCAGAGGCTTCAAAAATCAATGAAATACTTTTCGGGTGGCACTCTTAGGGCTTCGCAGGCTTGGCTACACTTTGCTCTTATAATGTTGGCAGTCAAGTCATTCGACATGCTAATATCTCTGGTTGCCGCTGAATAACCATAATAAACATATTCCATTCGAGAAGGGGCAACAGCAATTAGCCCAATTATACTTATGTGTTTCTTTAATAGATTTTAGTTTCCAACTTATTTGCTAATCATAACTAGAATTTCTTCAAGTTTCGCATTGCCAAACTGATAAGCTCTGTCAAATCGAGTGTAGCGCACACCATGTGCTCGCACTTGTTTTTTTTTCAAGATATTGAGGCACACGACATATTTTGGACAATATTAACTTTAATTTTACATGTTGCAAAACATATATTTCTTAAAGTCAATTAGTTAAAACAATACATTTTTCTAATATTTTGGTTACTCGAAAAATAAGTACATTATGAGCATGGAGGGAAAGTGGGCATGGATTGTGCGAAATATTATTTCACAACAGAGGTTGCAAATCGAGCTAGCTTTGGGATTGGGTTAGGTTAAGTTAAGACTAAGGTTAGGCATGGTATTTGAATGACATTTTTAAAAGTTATATTTTCTACTGAAACCCGCATTTGGGGAGCCTGAATCCATGCCCATAAGAATATGGGGCTTTCCCGATTTGCTCTCCTACTGGCGGGTATATGCATGTATTTATTCCACGCGTGGAGTCTCTCGCATTGGTCAAACTCAATATACTCTGAATCCCTCTGTTAATTTATGAACAAAGTATAAAAATCGGTCAAAATAGAATAGTTTATAGTTAAAACTGTAGCTAGCCTTATCAAAATATAGCGCTGTTTGAGGAGACCTTCGTTGGTGAGCAATTTATTGTGATTTAGATACTTGAAAATGTATTTGAATTCAATCTGATCAAAAACAAAAAATATTTAAAGAGACTCGGACAATTTTCTTCCGGTGTGTGAGCATCACATAACCATGTACAGATTTAACAAGGATATAAAATTGAGAATAAAGCCGAAATATATGAACCGCAGTTTCTGTTGAAGAGAAGTCTCAAATAAATTTTGTCGAAAATTTTTAGCAAAATGAAGTTAGTTATTCAGGACAATAAGTTTCATATAGAATTTCTTTTGGCAGCAATATTTGTTATATCTAAGGTAAGTTTCCGGGCCATGTATGCGTAGCTCAAAATAATTTCAGAAAGTGTCCCAACAACTGTCACTTGTGCTTTATATGTGAGGCCACTGACTCCTACAACCAACAGCCCACAACACACACACACGTCATTCTCCGGCTGCGGAAAGTATCGATGTCCAATTGACAGTTGCAGCCGTTGCGGCCGTTGCAGCGGCACAGGACTCAGCATTGCTGACAGCTGGACGAGCCGGGATCCGAGTGCGGCTCATAGCCCATTTCTTATTAAAAACCTAAGCCTGCTTATTAAATAGCGACTTATTGCTAACTGAAAGTGGCCAATGTGACAGTTTGTGCAACTGCCAGGACAGTGCAGGACGTGTCCTGTGAACAGCCCCAAAACGACTTGAATTACAGTTGGAACTGGGACTCCGAAATATGTTTTGGTGGATACTACGAAATTACACTTGAGTGAAGCGCGCCAAATTGAATTTGTAAGACGATACTTTCAAGAGGCCGCAAGAAGCAAGGGTTCGTCCCTTATCAATGGGTATAGTTCCTCAACGGACGGTCGGACATACGTAGTGTCTTGGGGTCGGAGGGAGGGCGGGCAGCTACAACAAGCCAATGTACCAATAAAATGCATACGCTGTCTGCTACTGTTTTACGTTGTTTATTTTTTATTAGAGAATCACTTCCGCAAACAAATGTGCTGCAAATGGGCCGATGACAATTTCTCACAGCAGCAGGGGGCGGCACTGTATAGAGGGTGGCTATTCACGGCCAATTATCCTAGCTGCCACGTTTCGCTATCAGCGCACACAAACCGCAAATGATTATCCTGTAAGCCTTTGGATAAATATTAAATTTCAATTATAGCCGTTAACATATTATTAGCCGGCGATCATCATCGTTGGCGCCAGGCGCCAGGCGCTAGCGGAACCAGAAGTCACGTGTCAACCAGTCGCTGATAATCATCGGGGCTCAGCAACCGCAGAGGGGTGCCAACGATTTGGCAAAGAGACAATGAGATGCGCACGCAATTTTATCAGATTAAGACCCTCAGCGGCAACAACCGTGTCCCTCGGGTGTATCCTTTGCGCCCCGCTCACTCTCTCTCTCTTTGTCTCTCTCTATCACTGCATTAAGCCGCCCTCAACAGGTGACAAAATGACCAAACATTGTGTGAGAATTTTTTTTTTGGGGCAGCCAGTTTAGCGATTCTTCTTTGGGCATATCAAGTTTCCGATTGACGCTGTGATTTGTCGTTTTTATTAATTCTCATGAACTGAAATTGAAACTCCTTAAGAAAGTCAACATTGTTGACTTTCAAAATAAACAGAATGGCAAACTAAGCACAGCTATGGAACTAGTTCTTAGCCAACAGTCTAATCAACAGCTTGTCTAAATGAAATAAATACCAAAAATACCAATAACAGTGAGCAACAATAGCATTAACATTTGCAGCACTGTTAATAACAGCAACGCGTAACAACGTAACGTATATATTGGCTTAGCTTGACGGCATCCAGAATAATTTGGAATATTTATTTTAATAATCAAACTTAATTGCAGCTTATTCAATATTCGTATCCGTAAAGCATAGCTGATTTAATGTCAATAGGTTTTCCAAAGGCAAACTAATTTCAGAGAAATTTGGTAATTTTTTTTTTTAATTATAATGTTTTTATAAAAGGTATTTTATTCATTTACGTGAAAAACTTAAGCTTACGATATACGGTATACTCCCCCAATGATGCACAATATAGTTAGTCAAATTATATAAAAAAGAGATAATTTTTCGGAGCGTCTTTTAGATTTTCGGATCCTGTGGCGTCAGCTTGACCATCTTAACGGATTCTTCCCAAATTTGGCGCGCCTTCTCCATATCCATAGCAGCTGCATTCAAGGTCGCCTCCTTGCAGTCCATGAAATACTTGCCAGACACATTGGCCACCTCATCGGAGGTCGCCAGATAAATGGTTGTCTGGGCGCCAGCTTTGGTTGTTTTGAAGAAACCCTTCGTGATGGCCATCATGGGCAAGTTGAGGGGGAAGGGCACATTGCGCCAAATGCCAGAATCTATCATGCCCGGATGCAAGTAATTGACCGTAACATTGGTGCCCTCCATGCGCTTGGCCAGCTCGCGGGCAAAGTAAATGTTGGCAAACTTGGACACATAATACAAATAGGCAGCGGGAAAAGTGCCGATGGGATTCAGCTTATTGAGATTAACAGACGCCAGGCGATACAGCTCCGAGGCCACAATGACAATGCGTGCCGGTGCGCTCTTCTTCAGCACATCGATGAGCAAGTGCGTCAACAAAAATGGGCCATAATGATTGGTGGCCATGGTCAGCTCAATGCCATCCTCGCTGGTCTGGCCACGGAAGGCCAACGCCATGCCGGCATTGTGTATGAGTACATCAATCTTTGGCTCAGTCTTGACAATATCAGCTGCGAATTCGCGCACAGATTTCTGCGAGCCCAAATCGAGCTTCTTGACCAGAATTTTGCTGTTATTGGTCTCCTTGATGATCTCATCTGGCAATAATGGCAACAACAATGTTAGTTAAGATTATATGGAATATGAATGTATATAAAGAAACGTTACTGTTAAAGCATTTCAAATAAATAAATAAATTTGTTTTCATTTTTTTATATCGGTCAGAGAATAATTCAGACTATTTCAACTTAATTGGAATGCTTTTGATTATTTTTTTTTTTTGATATTTATCAAAAAAGTGTTTTCAAAACTTTTATTTTATGCTATAACTGTTGTCCCCCTTTTTTTCCTTTTAAAAACTTACCCTTAACAGCATTTGCTGTTTCCAGATTCCTGCATGCCATGATGATGCGTGCTCCACGTCCAGCCAGATCCTTGGCTGTTTCCTTGCCAATGCCGCTGTTGGCCCCGGTAATGATGACAGTTTTTCCCTCCATTTTAGTCTAGAAAATATTACGATCATATATTATCGTACAGTCTGGCTCGGAAATTAGGCGTTGGTGTGTTTAATGGGCGGGACCGGTAAATAAGTGGCAACAACCCTAATTAGAATTTGTAGTTAATATAATCATAGCTCGCGTCTGGGGTCGTATTAAGCGGTTTCTAAGTTGAGTTGTTTTTATTTGTATTCTTTCTCTATGGTCATTCCGACCCCCGTGGAAACTGTGAGCGTGTAGCTCATAAACTCTTGCGCTTTGTTTTTCTAATTTTTTAAGGTAAGCGATCTCTCGCCGAGTGTAATACAAATACCGTAATAGTAACTGCCAGATCTGGCTAATTAAGTGTCCACGTCACGGCTTGGCGAACTATTAGAGAGAATAAAGTACCCTCCCGAGATTTTTTTTTTTAAATAAATCTGCTGCTTGTTTAAAAAAAAGTGATCTTTGCTCATTTATTATAAGGAAACTGATCTTTAGCTAGTATTAATTACCGTGAATTAAATCTCAACAAATCTCAGACTTGTAAGGCAGTCAAAACAAACGACTCTGGACGTAGTTTGACAAAGATCACGACCTGTTTGTATATATAGCTAAGCATTTGGCGGAAGTTCGGGCTGGGATAGGAATTTTTGAATTGGTTAAATAGGTTCTGAGACTGGGACTGGGGCTGGGGCAGGGGCTGGGTCTCTCAGGTTTACCTCAGTGAAACAACGGCCCGCCGTAATGCGTAAATAGAAGCGAATGCTCAGCAAGGTGGCCACAAAAGCCGCTGTGAGTGTCATGATGAATATATCACGGACATAATGATCAGTTGGCAACCAGGCCAAGACGAAACCCATGCTATAAATAATATTGTGCACATGTATGTATTATGTATGTATGTATGCAAATTAGTTTATATGTATAAGACAAAAAACTTCGTTTATCTCAAATTCGAAACACGTTTGGCCATTTAACCAGCTCAAGATCGAACAAAAAATAAATTTCGTTTTTCGGTCAGTCTCAGTTGGTCAATAATTTGTTGCAGCCGCTAAACAGTTTTTTAATAAATGAAGAAAATGGCAACAACAATATTTCAAAATCAATATGATATACGAAATTTTATACTTTCACTTTTCATATGTGCAAGATAAATAATTATGAAACCGATTTCTGAAGCGCCGTGCTCGAGGCCAAAGCAAAGTTCATTGCCGTGTACAGGTAGGCAAAAGAAAGCCAGAAATTTCTGTTGTTTTTGTTGTTGTTGTTGTTGTTGTTGTTGTTGTCGCCTTAACAACAACAGCGCATCGCTTGCTGCTTCTTTTTCTTACTGACTGTCCACGTCACAAAAAAAATTGTCTGCCTTGATACGTACTGGTTTGGTGGTTACGCTTCCCTGACTGCCTCGCCCTGAATGCAACCTCTTCTGGCTAGAACTGACCCGTTTTTTTGGCCAACAACCACACGTACAAAACTGCTGCGTCAGTTATGCGATATTGCGAATTTCCGCACACTCACCTGGCAAAGTGTTGTCTGACTTTATATATATATGTATATATACTTTAGTTGAACTAGCTGCTGTATGATTCCAGACCCAAAGACTCGACTCAATCACAACCTTCGCCTTGAACGCTTGCTCTGCGACTGGCTGCAGAGTCGCTGCTGGAAACGTCTCGCGATCAGCTCTGTGCATTGCTATTGTAATGAGCCGCAATAGTTGCTGTTATTTATTGTTGTTGTTCTTGTTGTTGTTGTTGTAGCTGTGTTGTTGTTGTTGTTGCTGGCCGGCGAAACAAGTTGAAGCTGAGCTTAAATGCCGCCAAAGAGAGAATCTCGCTTTTATTTGTGGTCTTTCCTTTGCGTTGGTCTTTCGTTAGTTTAACGAGTAGCAGAGCGCGTGAGAGTGTGATAGAGAGAGAGAGTAAGAGAGAGAGAGAGAAAGCGCAGCCCGAGTCAAGTGTAAAATCTACACTACACTTTTTCAAAGCTATGTGAAATATTTTATGATGCATAGAGCTGACGGCTAAAAGCTTAACATAAATATAATTAATTATACTAAAAAGTGTTTTGTTGAATTCTTGCTATTAATAATACAATTTCAATAAAGCTTTCTACATAAACTAAATAGTTTTTAAACTGAAAATTATTGTTGATTTAATTTTTTAATCAGCTAAAATATATTGTTTTACATTATTAACTCTTACTTACATATACATTTTGTAATTTTAATACTATAAATATATAATTTTTTAATACATAAAATAAAATTAATAATTAAAATTTTATTATTGTTGCCGAGATTAAATTATTATACCAATATTTTAGTTTTTTTAAACTTTGAAGCTTCAAAAGTTTACGAAAACTAGATATTTTCAAAAATTTTCCAACTGACATTTGGCTTGATTCAGTTTTTGGAAAACAACAAATCAATTAGATTCGTATTAGTTTCATGAATAATAGAACAATTCGATTTTGTGCTTTCCATATTTTTATAATAGTATTGCATTATACATAAATACATATTTACATTGAGTCCTACAGATTTGTGCAGCCAAATTCCCCAATTAACGTTTTAGCTGTGAGAATCTTCTATTTATCTATGGCATTCCCGCCTCCCATACTCGGAGCAGGCAGCTTCGCTGGCTCACTATCCAGATGCTTTGTCAGGGTATTGTACCACTCGTTCATGTGGCGTGAGATGATGCTCATAAGCTTGGATACCTTTGACTTTACGGTTGTCACGATGTTATCGGAGAGCGTGACCTTGCGGCAGTTTGTGCCAGGAAGCTTGGTGCTAGAGATCTTCATGATTTTCGACTCAGTTGGTTCGATGGGGGGCGTCACCGTGGACAAGTCCACTTTGTACTCATAGATTGAATAGCGTCCCAGCGGCAACAGATCCTGCTGATCGTCCTTGTGTATTACATTGGAGTTGAGCGTGTCGTCGGCAAAGTTGAAGGGCAGAGCCCTACGTCTTCGCATTGCCGGCATATCCCACCAGGAGGTGATGCTCTCGTCGGCAAGCTTCTTCTTCAGCCGCTTGGGTGCAGGCACAGGCACTCTAGGAGCTCGCTTGGTGCTGAAATAATCCTCCTCATTGTCAGTGACAGGCAACAGCTTCGCGGGCGCTGGAGGCTTCAGTTCCCTCTCCAAGGCGTCTTCCTTCTGGGACGCAGGTTCGCGCAGGTGCTCATCCCCCAGCGAGAACTCGTGCTCGTGCTCATTGATGTGGCTGAGGAAGTGCTTTCCAAGCTCACGCTGCGCCTGCAGAAAATCGCTGGCGACATGTCCGCTCTTGCCAGCGCGCTTTTTGTTGTCATCATCACCCTCGACTGGCTCCACATCCGGCTCCTGTTCCTCCTGTGGCCTGTTCTGGCTCTTGTTCGGGCTCTTGCTTATTGTGCCCTTGCTGGAGAAAGGTTCGGGGAACAGCAGCGAATTCAATGTGGCGCCCAGATTCAAACGTTTGCCCTGCTTGGGCACAGGCGCCGGCAAGGCCTCAAAGAATTCCGTGGGCAACAGACGCAGCTTTTGACGCTCCTTTTGCTTGGGTACGTCAGGCACATCCTCCACGCTGTCCTCCTGGGAACGCTGCACAATGCTCAGCTGCCTTCTACCTTTCGCTGGCCTGCGTTTCTTGTAGCTGACCTGCTGCTGCTCCGATTCTGGCTGCATTTCGCTCTCCTCCCCGTCCGGAGATTCAATGTGCTTCAGGTGGACATCGCCCTCAGGCAGACGGGTATATGGTGGTGGCTCCGGCTGTTCGCCCATTTTCTTGAAGAACTCCTCCTCATCGAACTCGGCCAGATCGAAGAGCGGCTTGACCTTGCGTTCCGGCTTGCGTATCTCTGTTATCTTCTTAGTCAACGTCGTCTTCTTGCCCTGCCTATTGTAGAAGAAGGGCCCAACATAGTCGGCTGCACTGCGTCTGCTGCGCCGTTGCGTCACATCCCTGCTCTGCTCCATGACGTTCCTCAGCCAGTTTCGTGCCTCACAGGGGCGCACGGCTTGAGTTTTGGGCTTGACTTCAGCTTTCACCTGACGCTTTACTGGCGCAGACACTGGAGCGGACTTCTCTTTTGGCGAATTGAATGGTTGCAGCAGCCTGCCAAGCAGCGTGTCCGGTGCCTCCAGCTCCGGGTTATCCAGCACAAAGCGCCGCTGGCGATTGATGGTGCCCGGCAGAGATCCGCGAGAGACGGCGGTCTCCTCGATCAGACGCTGTAGCAGACGATCTGCCGAGCTGTAGCTGGAACGGCCACTCTCGGCAGCTGACTCCGCGCTGACGCTGTCAGCTTCGATTTCGGAATATTGACAGTGCTCCAGATTGACGCTGGGCAGCACCCAAAAGCCCACTGACATGCTGGGCGTGATCAGCTGCAGCGGCTTGCTGGCATCCTTGGGTTTGACCAGCGGTCGCAGAGTGGAGTTGAGGGACAGCTTCATATTGTTCAGGCGCATGCGACCATCCTCTGCAGTCAGCACATATTGCCATATATCGCTGCTGGACAAACGACTCATGCTCCGCACCGTAATCGTTGTGGGCTGCTCCTCCGTGTTGACCACCATGAAAGCCAATCCACCCGACACCGCGTTGGCACAGTGCGTATACAGTTTGTTGCTCGGCGCGAAGACATTCAGTGGACGCGCCGGAAACACTCTGGAGCCCATGACCTTCTTAAAGAGCGCCGTCACATAGTAGCTCAAATTGGGCCGCTCGAAATCCTCTAGACTCATGCGCTTGAAGACCACGTCGAAGCCACCGCTAGCCGCATCGCCCAGGGTCTGTGCCCAGCGCAAGGCGTCCGTCGTCTCATCGCCCACCAGCCGCTTGCTTATGGACTGTGCCCCATTCCGATCCTCCGGCAGCGTCAGCCACAGCGGCACGCGCTGCTGTTGGAGTGTTTTCAGTGCCGGATCGCTGTCGTAGATGTAGCTGCCCAGGCTGCTGGTAGGCAGCATATTGGCGGGTCTGTCAATGGATTAACAGATTAGAAAAACGAATTGTCTTATAATACCCGGCTCGGCACGGGCGAATCTTTGTGTTTACATATTTGGACATCCCTTTACCGCTCATTTTACAAAGTAGCTGGTGGATTTCCCAAGACACGTATTTATTAAGTTTCTGTGACAATTATGAATCCGGTCAGACAAAACTTGAAGCCCCGCCCATAAAAGTTTTGGCCACCTTTTTACACCCTTATTTTCCAACACAATGGGTTAGATTTTGCGAAAGTCTAAAAGACTTAGACAAATAGTTTCATACATAGAGATAATACTCACTGCGTCCAGCCGAAGGCCGCATTTAAATCCTTGGACATGTCCACATATTTGCGCGTCTCCTCAGCGCTGCTGCCAGCTGATATATCGGCGCCCATAACACGCCAATTATCCACGTAGGGACTGAAGGTGTCCGTCATCAGCTTCAGTGTGCTCAGCTCCTGCACGTAATCCTTGGCGCGTGATGTGCCAAAGTCTGTGCCCAGCTGCCAGATGCAGTCGGTTATGCCCACCATGTAGGAGGTGTTGAGTATCTTGAGCGTATGCATTGAATCCCACTCATCGGGCGCATAGGGCACCGGTATAATCATCGTCCAGTTGACAGCGCTTAAAGGAAAGACAGGCAATAGTTAATATGAAGCAGCCAATCCACACAAATAGTCAGGCCCATACCGTGTCCAGCGATTGAAGCCCTTCCATATGATCTTGGTGGGATTGCGTAGGCGTTGCGGCGCATTGCTCGCAAAATAGAAATCGCCAATGAACTTGACATAGGCATCGCCTAGGAGGGCGGCCATGCTGGTGACAGCCTTGCGACTCTTGCCATCCAGTGCATCATAGAGATCCTCCGGCTTGACGGCAAAGCTGACAAACTTTTCGTTGACATCGTTATAGGGACGATTCACATGGAGCTGCACCAGGGTGTCCGCCTGGCACAGAGCCAACAGGGCGAGTAAAAATAGCGCCAGCTGCGGGCACAACATATTGGAATAGATGACTTGACCGGAGCTTGTTCGCTGCACAACTGCGCAACGCCGGCCTCTGGGCCAAGCTAATAAGCAGCGCTTGGCGTTTGTCGGCAAAGAGTTTTGAGTTCCATAGTAGTTAATTTCCATAGAAATCTGCTGCAATTGGCAAGAATTTTTCGCTGAGCGCTGCCCTCAATGGAATGACCTTTTTATTCTTTCAGCCAAAATCACGTCGCTATGTGGGCCATCCAGCCCCGGAGCAGGCGGAATAAAGTGCAATAAAAACAAGACACCCGCTAGGTTTGGTATGCTGCGATTTTTATTAATGGATGACCCACTAAAATTACATAAGCGCCTAGGCCTCGTCTTCTGCCGTCAACATGGCCTTGAAGCTCAACGGCTGAAACTCATAGCCGGAGCCGGTGTAGAATTTGCTCATGAACTCCACCCAATGCAGACGCAGGGTGTGCAGGAAAGCGGATAGACCTTCCATCATCACCATAATGGCAATCGTGAAGAACACCCAAACGGCAAAGATAATGAATACGGCAATGCAGCCAACGTAGCCGCCCATCTGCAAAGCCTCAGACAGCACCATCGTCCACAAGACCTCGGAGAGTTCTGCAAATGTTAAGAATTAATCAAGAAACATTCGGACTTCTTCACGTGGAACTTACCAGCGTGTGCCAAGGATAAGGCCCAGAGACGCAGATACGAGGCCGTGTGCGAAATCGTGCTCAAAATATACTCAACCGTATGAATTGCCTGATGTATCCAGATCTCGCTCATCGGCTCTTCCTCTTCTTCCTCCTCCTCCTCGTCCTTAAAGTGCGCAGCCTTGCCGTGGTGTTCAGGGAATTCCGTTATGATCACCTCCTTGCCGGAGATTTCAAGTGTCTCCATGATGGTATCACCAAAGTGTTCAGTATTCTTCCGCTAAAAGAACATGTTAAATATTAAGCTGAGATCCAAGCTGAGCTTGGCTAACGCACCATGTACTTGCGCTTGCACATAGTCCAAAGGGGTAGGCCCAGCAGAATCCAGGGTATGCATATGACGGCCACCACAAACAAAATTGTCTCCAGCTCCCTTTGTGCCGGAAACATGGTTGCTGTGCAGCCCTTGGAGGGCGTCTCAGTTTTCATCAGGATCATGTCAATAAACATGATTAGCACAGATGGAGCACAGCCCGGCGAATTGGCAATATCCGTGGTACTGGGCGAATACTGCACCCACTTGTAGAACATCATGAAGACCATGTACCCGAAGAGCATTAGCAGGAAAATAACTTGCGGCACAAACTGAAGTAAAATGTACGAATACTTTTTGTAGTAAACGAAATTCTCCACAGATAGACAAACGCCGAAGACCATGTGCAGCACACCAAATATTATGGATAGCTTCATTTTGTAGGTGTTCAGGAAGATGATCTTGTTGCTAGCCGATTGCCAAATTGGATCAATACCCATGGGATAAGTGCCTCGCTGATCTGTCGTCGGATTCAGCTGCAGTGCCGGATTCGTAAGAACCGTGGTCCGGTTGTACTGCAGGGCCCAATGCGAGCCAAAGACATTAAATGACTTGGAGAAGCAATCGTTGTAGATGAAGCCCGTGTAGATGGCAAACATGCCCATTAGCATTATGATATATCGGCCACCAAACAGAATTTTCCAAATCTCACCAGCGCGTTTCTTGCTCAGCCGATTCTCGTCGAGCACCATCCATAAGCCGAGCAGAAAGACCAAAAATCCGTGTCCCATATCACCGAACATCACAGCGAACAGAAATGGAAAGGATATGCATGTATAGAGTCCCGGATTCACCTCACGGTACTCGGCAATGCCATAGGCATCGATCAGCACCTGGAAGCCATAGGTGAACTTGTTGGTGCGGAAGTACGTGGGCGGCGTCTTTTTCGTCTCAAGTATGTTGAAAATTGTGGGCACGGTGCTGCCCAAGGCAAGCGACGCCTCGGAGAGCACCGTTTCGACCTCCTCGAGCTCACGCTTGGGCACCCAGCACTCGCCAATCAAGCACTTGCTGCCCAGATCCACGTTGAACATGTTTAGCGTGTGATAGATGGCCTTCATTTTCTTGACCATGGCCGTCCAGTTAGGCAGCTGCTTCTTGATTGCCTTCAGCACACAGGAGCGATGATCCTCGGTTTGGCTGATAATGATCTTGAGGTCCTCGAGCCGTACATGCACGCTCTTAATCATGTCCAGACGTTCCAGATGCGAGCTCGGACATGGATACATGGTGGCATGAAAACCAGTGCACACTTTGCGTATGCGCCCCTGCAGCTGATCACCCTGGAAGAAGACCACAAAGATGGTCTTATAAACCATGTCACCCGTCTTAGGATCCTTAACAGGCTCGTCCATTTGACAGCTGCGCACCAGGACATTGCCACGCGAGATGCGCCAGAGCATTCGTTCGAAAGCAAACTGTAAATGAATATGGATCAGTACATATCTAAAGTCGGGCATCCGTCTTACCTGTCTCTCTCGACGAATAACGCCAGCCACAAATCCCAAGCTACCGTCACATTGTTCCGGATCCTTGTGTGTTCCACGCTTATTCACATCAAAGTTGTGCGACTCCTGATCGGAAAAGAACTGCTCCGTTCTTTCCAGCACCTGAATCATTTCACTCAACTCCAAAAGGTTGGTTTGCAAACGCACATTGTTGGCAGACAGTTCGATGATCTCCGTTTCGGTTTTCTCCAACAGCGACTCTAGCTCTATGATCTCCTTGGGCTTGGGTGCGGGCGGAAAGTCCTCAATCAGATCAACCACCTTCAAGCCATCTTTAGACAGCTCTGATGTGGCATAGCGTATCTTCCGCTCCAGCTCGTCACAGCGGCGCACTTCGTTGACGAACTTGCGCTGCATCGCGGTAATGCCCTCGTTCATCTGCAGGCGCAGGATACATAAAATTTCACAAATACCCGAATGCCGCATCAGCTAGCTTTACTTACGTCCCGAAACTGCACACAGCCCATTTCGCCCAGCTGTGCTATGGTCTCGTAGGCCGCCTCCGGCTGCAGAAACATCTGGGCCAAGCACATCTCCTCGCTGCGAAAAATGCTGTCCTGCGGTCCCGTGCCGCACATCCATCCTTTCAGTTTGCTGCACATTTTAAGTTTCTCCTTTTTTTTTCTTTTTTTTTGGAACTGGCAGTGACACCTCAGCGCACTCTGATGACGCCTGGTGAACTGATCGTCGTGGTCAAGTGACTTCCACGTTGAAGCTTTGGTCATATAGTTTGGACACCGCTTATGTACAACTTTCCAGGCTTATCTTCGGGCGCATGCTTTGGATAAACTGCCCCAAGGTAACAGACAATTGAGCCCATCTATCAACATGATCGAATGGTGTCCGGGGTGTCTTATCAGTCTGCCATTTGATATCGTAGCAGATCCCAAGGCATTAAAAACTAATTGGCTCGCAATTAGAAAACCATTTGCAGCCAGTTCTTATGTACATAATTCATTGGGGTCTTTCGTTAGTTGTGAAACATTTGTCAGTGAAAGAAGTTCATAGTTGGACGAAAGAAATATAGAAAAGTTACAATTACGAAAAATGTATACAACTTAAATGAATTTTAAAATCAAGAATATTGTTCTGGATCGATGAGTTACTTAAGTGACCGCGTCATTGAAGATCTGGGCTCAAATCCCAAGCTTGGGTATGGATGTTTTAATAGCTAAGCAAAATTGCCAATGTTTGTTAAGTTACAAAATCTATCCGCATTATTATACATTATAATAATAATAATTGAAGTAATTGAATACACATCATTAAAAGAAAACCAAATACAAGAGGGTGAGAGATATTTGGAAACTATATAAATTAGATTAAGAGTATGAACTATTCATAAGACAGCCAACACAACTCCATTATATAATGCCTACGTATAATCAAAGCACGATAACCTGTTATTCTCTCTTGAACTCTCTTACACACATTGATACAGGCGAAAGAAAATAGAAATACACATACACCTAAACATAGATAGATGCATATGCTCACAAAAGGTCGTACAGATATATGCACAAAAATAAATCTTATTCGATTGCCGACACACCTTATTATTTAATGTAATACTTATATTTAGAGCTTGAAAACCTGTTAACCTGTAAGTAATTGAGTTCATGAGAATCGCATAGAGAGGCTATCTTAAAAGCAAGTTACTCTATATAAACTTTAAGTTCTCATATAAACATTCATACACTCAAACATAGATACATACAAACATATATTCATAAATACATACATATATACATATATGCACGAAACCACATACAAACGTACGCATATATACACATCCGTTAAAAATATAACACACTTCGTGGAGTCTTAACTTCAGTCTGGACAAACTGTTATATGTATAAGTATGGATAAATCAAACATATTGCTTTTCTCTTCTTGCTTTATTTTATCAAGTTAGTTAACTGTGTGTTTAAAATTTATAATAAGGATAATGGCTAACAGATATCATCAACATAAATTCTAAGCAGACATTAACCGAACTGACATTAATTTACAATTATTTGTAACAACGAATATCAAATTATTGCTTGAAACGGTTTTTTATGAGAATACATAACAAAATCTTTTGACAACGGATGGAATACATTGACTGAGGGAATATGTGGGAAGAGCACCACAATACTGACAGTATTGAGAAAACAAAAATATTTAACAAAACAAAATTATATTTATATATATATGTATAGTATTCATATATTTGTGGCTATTGCTGTGGCTCAATTACTCCTCTTCTTCGCCATCTATGATTGCCTTGAAGCTGAAGGGCTGGAAGGCATATCCTAAGCCCTCGTAAAATTTGCTCATAAACTCCACCCAATGCAGACGCAAGGTGTGCAGGAAGGCGGACAAACCCTCCATCATGACCAAAATGGCCAGCGTGAACATGCACCAGGCGCCGAAAATGACAAACAAGGCAATTGCGCCAGTATAGGGCGCCATTTTCAGGCCCAACGACAGCACCATGTTCCACAACACCTCGGACAGTTCTAAAAGGAATTTAAGGATATATTAAAAAAAAAGTAGAGCTAAAAGAATTCAAAGCACTTACGAGCATGAGCCAAGGACAAGGCCCAGAGACGCAGATACGAGGCTGTATGCGAGATAGTACTGAGCACGTATTCGATGGTGTGAATGGCTTGATGAATGTATATTTCGCTCATGGGCTCATCTTCGTGACCGTGAGCACCGCCAGCACCTTCCTCTTGTCCTGAGGAGCCAGTGGGCAATGGTGTCTCACCCTCGGCCAGCTCCATGTTGCCTGTCAGCTCGCCATTGTGCTTGACCTATCCAGAAATAAAAAAAATCAACAGCAGCTCTTCCCTCAGCCTGATGACGCTCTACTTACATGTGCGACGGTGTTGCGGCGGGTGAATTTGATGTACAACGGCTTGCCCAGCAGCATCCATGGCACGCAGATGAGGCCAATGATGACAAAGGTTTTCTGCAGGCCATCCTGTGCATCGAACATGAACTCTTTGCAACCACTTGGCGGCGGTGTGTTCTTGAACAACATCATGTTGATGAACATGATCAGCACAGATGGAGCACAGCCTGGAGTTTCGGGTTGGCTATCGGTGAAGGCGGTGTATTTGAACCATTTGAAGAACCTAAAAGGAATTAAAATATATATAATATGTGCCATTGATAAGATAAGTCGTACAATTTACTTACATCATGAACACCATGTAGCCGAAGAGCAGCAGCAGGAACAGAATTTGAGGTACAAACTCCAGGAAGATGGAGGAGTAACGCTTAAAATGCACAAAATTACAAACGGACATGCAGACACCAAAGACCATGTGCAGCACACCGATAATAATGGACAGCTTCATCTTGAAGCTGTTGAGAAAGATGATCTTGTTGTCTGCCAGCTGCCAAATAGGATCCAGGCCCAGAGGATAGACACCCTTGGCCGAAGTGCGAGGTGGCATCTGTAGGCTCGGATTGGCCAGCACGGTCGATGTGTTGTAGTTGTTCACCCAGTTCGATCCAAACAGATTCATGGACTTGGAGAACACATCGTTGTAGATGAAGCCCGTGTAGCAAGAGAACAGGCCCATGAGGAGAATGATATAGCGGCCGCCAAAGAAGATGTTCCAGATTTCGCCACCGTTCTTAATGCGAGCCAGCTTCCGCTCACTGAGCACCATCCAAGCACCAAACAACAGCAGTATAAGGCCATGACCCAAATCGCCAAACATAACAGCGAAAAGGAAGGGGAATGTAATGCAAGTGTACAGAGCCGGATTGCACTCGCGGTACGAGGCAATGCCGTAGGCATCAATAAGGTTCTGGAAGCCGCGCGTGAACTTGTTGGTGCGATTGAAAGTCGGCGGCATTTCGTTCGTATCGATAACATTGAGGAATGATGGAATTGTGCTGCCCACAGCAGCTGAGCCGTCGGAAAGAGCCTTCTGCACAATGTGCAAATCCTTCGTTGGCACCCAGCACTCGCCGATGAGGCACTTCTTGGTCACATCCATGTTAAACAGATTGAGCGTATGATAGATGGCCTTCATCTTCTTGACCATGATCGACCACGAGGGCAGATTCTTGGAGACAGTTGCGAGCACACGGCTGCGATGATCCTCGGTCTGGCTAAGCACCAGCTTCAGATCTTCAAGGCGTGTACGGACATTCTTGACCATCTCCTCGCGCTCGTTGTGCGAGCTGGGGCAGGGATACAGTGAGGCATGGAAGCCGGTGCACACCTTCTTGATGCGATTCTTTAGCTGCTCGCCCTGGAAAAAGGCCACAAAGACGGTCTTATAGATGGGATGACCAGTGGCTGGATCGTTCAGAGGCTCATCCAAATCAGAACGCTTAAGGAACACATTGCCACGCGAGATGCGCCACAGCATGCGCTCGAAGCCAAAGACACGTTCACGATTGATGACGCCCGCCACGAATCCAAGACGTCCACGGTGCTGGACAGTCGCTTCATCAATAACGCCGGCGCCGCGATTGCTGGAATCCAAATTGAGCACCTCCTGGTCGGAGAAGAAGCCCTGCGTATTCTCCAGCACCTTGCGCAGTTCCGTCAGCTCCAAATAGTTGGACTTCATGTTCACCTCGTTCTGGGCCAGCTCAATCATTTCCGTTTCGGTTTTCTCCAAATGCGCCTCCAGGTCGATGATCTCGCGTGGATTGGGCGCACGCGGTATATCATCCTGGATATCCGGCAGCGCAATGCCGTCCTTCTTAATCTCCGTCTCAATGTAGCGTATCTTCCGCTCCAGCTCATCGCAGCGACGCACCTCCGTCACGAACTTGCGTTGGAACACATTCACAGTGCAGTTCAGCTGTGGGAACGACAAAGAGAATTACGAATGACTTTCATTTCGGAATATTTCGTGTTCGACTGGACTTACATCGCGAAACTGCACACAGCCGGTTTCGCCCAGCTCCGAGACGGAGGTGTATGCGGCCTCTGGTTGTATAAACATCTGGCATAATGCCATTTGCTCACTGCGGAACATATCCCCCATCTTGGCGACGCTTCACGTTCCCTGCAAAGCATAGATAGAGTGAGAAGATGGGGGGGCAGGTTAGTTGGAACATTCCACAGACATGCAATTAAAATTCAAATAGGAAAAATATTCAACAGCCAGACGAAGACATCGTCTTTGTCGTCGTCGTCGTCGTTCCCGTCGTCGCCTGGCAAACGATTTGGATTGTTTTTGTTTGTTGTATTTTTGTTTTGGCCTAACCATGACAGCCAATGGCTTCTTTTGTCTAGCATATCGTATGCGATACGCAGGGAAGGCTCGCTTGAGCGGACAGCCACGTTTGCATCCCTTCGTCCTGCTGATGGCAGATGTCTACTCAAAAGATATGAAAATAATGTTTGTTTACATTAACCTTAGTTAATATTTCGTTAAATTGTTTTGTAATATTGGAACTAAGAAAGGTGGCTGTCCGTTAATCGAACATTCACTGTACTCGCAAGCATATGCTACACGCGCCATAAAATTTTGCAAATGCCCGCAGAAAACGGTCGAGGAAATTTTCATTGGCGCTGTTTCTAAAAGCGAACTTATTTTGTTGTATGTATTTATCTACACGGATTTGTTTTACATATTATTTATTGTTCTTTTCATTTGTTTATCCCTTCTCTTAATGTAGTAGCATGTGTTTAATCGTAATTACTTGTGCACATTGCCATGCACCGTCGAAATGAAAATCGTGAAATAATTATTCCTTGGGAATATATCTAAATGAATTTGTGTTCGCAGGAAATTTATCATTCGCAGTAAAATAATTCATATTATAGCTGTGAGAGCTTTAGTCGGGAGATGGGCAACTTTTGCTTGAGTATATGTCTACTTGAAACTTCATAGTTTCTCTGATACAAAACCTTATTGTCATTGTATTTACATATGCAGACTCAAAAAAAAAATGAACAATTTGAATATTTATTTAGAAAAAAAAGCCCATTTCAAAAAATTATTTAAAATTCTTACACGAAAAATCAAAATTGATAGTTTCAAAAAGTTTTCTCACATGAACAGAATTTGTGTGGATCAAATTGTTTATTATTATAATACCTATTTAATCTTTTAAGCTGTACGCAGACATTTTTTTCACATATATTCACATGTTTTGAATTTTTGGAATATTTGAATAGCATATTTTCTCTATATATTTAATAATGTTAGGTAGTTTTTGTTTTTGTGCGTGTTATTAGTTGACGCAATGGAATAATATTGGAAATCAAGCAAAGCCGATTAATCATATTAACTGATAAATATCTGTTTTATCAGAATTCTGCCAAAAACATATGAGAATATAGGACCAGACACAGTCGAAATCGGCGGCACTTACAGATAATGCGTGTGATTAATGTTTTTGATTTAATTAGAGCGCGTTGCACTAAGCAACGCAGCTGCTGCGGTCGGTTCTATGTTGGCTAAAACAGAGTGCTCTAGTCGGGAGTGCCCGACTAGAAGATACCTCGTGTCCAGCTGCAGTTACAAACATGCTAGCTTCCTTGTGTATGTACCCAATGTGTTTTTGAACAACTTCGACGTTTATTGTCCGATGTTTATCAAAAATGTAGGGCACAAGCTCGAATCCAAATCTCAAAACTTATGTTTTTTAAGGTATTTGAGGAAAGATATGAAAACTTTAAATAGTTTCAATTGTTGTATGCTATACAAAAGTATAAAGAGATACTTTCAATATTTTAGTCAGCCTAAGCTCGTCGTCATAATCAGGAACATATTTAGTTTATGGTGGGCGAGAGTTCGTGCCCTTTGTTGCACACATATATACAAAACCAGGATACCCTATGCAATGCGTTTAGGGTATACGAAGTAAAACAAATAGAATGTGTACACAGACTCGTCGCGCCAAGGTTCACTGTGACATCATCCGACTCGAAACAGTCAACGACACGGACGACAGTGCGACGCGTAGCACATTATCGAACTTTAATGGCCTGGCCAGGAATTAGCTTTAGCTTATATACATATGCACACTCACACACATGTGTATATGTTGTACATACATATCAGAATGATGATAGATGTGCCTGTACATACATACTGAATGCTCGTTAAAAACCATTTGTATCTTTGTCCGCCTTCTGCCCGCCGTTTGCATACCATTCTATGCTAGCCTCTTGGCTGCCGGCCAGCAGCACGCCCAGAAGTTGTCCCCAGTGGAACCACAGCCTGAGCTAAATAGCTGAGCCAGCAATTGCATGGCATTCAAGCATTCATAAAACTCACACTTTGTAACCCAATGTAAGTCCCTTGCAATTCGAACAGCTCCACAAAAAAAAAAAAACATTTCTTTCTTCGCGCCTGTTGCCTATTTATAATGGTTGCCTGCCTTGAGAAATGCCACAAGTATTTTTATACCCATAGAGTGTTCTAATTTTCTTTCCAAAAAGTGTAACATCTTAACGCCTTTTTAATATACATATATATAAATTTGGTAATAGTTTGTTCGGCGGGGTAACTGATATAACTTTTTCCGCCTGTCTGTTTCAATGTAATTGATTTGATCCATATTTTTGCTGTGGGCAGTAATATCTAGAGCATACTCCGCTCAACATCGAAGTACTATAGAGTATTTAATCATGGGATCCAGTAAATAACTTGTTTTCGCTTAGATTGGGTTTTTATTCATTCATTTATTCGACACCCGGTCTGACTGTACTGTTTGGCATTTTTATAATACATTTTATCAGAATATATGAAAGTATATATTTATAGCAGCGCAATTAAAATAATCAAAATTAAATGAGCCTAGCACAATTATCGCTGCCAATTCCGTAATGGATAACTGTGTGCAGCGGGTAGTTAATGTGCTGCCTAAAAGGAAGTCTCCCATTTTTGCATTTATCAACACTCAACACTGTTAATGTATGTTTCTCTGTAGAACTTTACAGCAAGTTTTTATCAACATTTATGGGTTCGCTACCAAAGTAAAGCAATGAATATAAAAATTCTTCGAGCAATGCACAATTATCGCTAAATAACTTAGCAATTCCACAAAAGATAACAGTTGGGAAATTCTATTTGACTGAGTGCTTAAACGGAAGCCCGCTTATAGAGTACATACTAACTAACCACAATGTGCATTAAACATGCATTATAGTTTAAGTAGAACTGCGTTTACTAGGCGAGCCCGTATAATTTAAAGCTCATTTGGGCCATACACGTGGGTAATTGATTGGCACCCATAAATGAAGGGCTCATAAATTGTTAACGATTTCTGCTACTTGGTCACACCCACAACTGGAGCTAGTTAGAAATGTATATACAGTAAAGGTTCTACTAACGGAAAGCTCTTTTGGCTGGATATCAGTCAGACAGTCAGTCAGTTTATAGTCCTCATATTTTGAATTACTTTCTATGGTACATTTCTCTAAATAATACACAAAAGCCGAGCCATATTCTTAGCAGGACAAAAGCACGTTGAAATCATAGGTGTTCACTCAGAAGAGCTTTCACTGTATGTGGATACGCGTGTAGTTTTTAAGGCAGCGCTGTCAGCAACTGTCATACACACAAACAGCAATCGCATATCGGTTTTAATTAAGCTTCAATTAATATGAAACGCTTTCAAGCTGAATTGCAAACTTGCCTTGCCAAACACGATATGCGCTTTTAAGCCAATGTATTGTATTTATGAACATGCATATGTACAAGCATACAGATATCGTGTGAAGGTATGTATACTTTTGTTAACCACAAAAAAAGGCACAAATATTTTTTCAGTTTCTAAACACGCACAACAAAACGACAGGCAACTAACTGTAAACCAGTTCAACTTAAAAACAACTAAACACACCGTTGCCGTCTGCTCGAATGCTCTCGCTCCCGCTGCCTGGCCGTGCCTGGCAGTTTACTTTTCGCTGGTCATTTTCGTGAGTAAGTCGGGCTGGACGTGTAACGTGTGGGTGTTAGTTTGTGTCTCGGTTTGCTTTACATGCGCATACATAGACATACAACATTTGCAAATGTGTGAGTGTGTGTGCGTTAACTGTCGCTCCCGAATGCACGCAAGAAGCGGGCGAGTCTTAATTACATTTTAACGAAGCAACAGCACTTCGTGTTTAACGTTAATGGCATTGGCGACCCCCGTCGATGTACGCCCCTGCCAGGCTCAGTTAATATCGCTACGACAACGAAGTTTCGTTAAAAAATTGTTTGTTTTGTTTGTTTTTCGCTCTCATACGCGCTTGCTCTTTTGCGCGCTCACTCATGTCTGTGTGTGTGTGTGCAACGTTTATTTGGTCATTTTTATTCCATTTTTTTTTTTTTTTTGTATCATTTTGTGCTCAATTTTTTGACAGTTTTTCATAACCATTATCTATGAAGCAAAAACATGCGTTTTAATTAAAAAAATTTAAAATACAAATGTTATGCCAGCGATAAGAGCAATAATAAACGTTAAGGAAATTATTTAACATAAGAGACTCAAAAGCCCCGCCCAGACGTTGATAACCAGCCCAAAGTTATATAAGTGGGGACTACGAGACGAGCACACGCCAAGCGCTTAATACCCTTAATAAGTGTAATACTTCAAATACCTAGAGTTTGAAATCTAGAGCTTTTATAGACTTCCTATGATTAAGCAAATAAATACAAACGATCGGCTGTAGTTCTAATCAAAATGATTGATGGAAGTGCTTGTGAATATTTATGATCGGCTCATAAATCATAATTCAACTGAAATTGATGCACTTCTATTACGAGAGCTACTCAAGTATTGTTTTAAAAAACATTGAAACACGCATTCTAAAGACGTTCTGTGAGAAAAGTGCAGGTCACATGATATGGGGGATTGCATAAAACTCAGCTCTGTAACGCCACTGGTCACAAACACACATACGCACGCAAACTGCTGACTAACGTGCGTGAGAGACCACAGATACTCTGAAATAGATACTCAGCACGTCTACAGCTAACTGTTACGCTCGCTGCGGGAGCAGGGGGCGAGCGTCAGCTGGTGTCGCGGCATTTACTTTGACATTAGTCTCATGACGAGTCGCAGAGCTGCGCCCACAAATGATGCCTGCTACTCTGTGTAGGCATCACGTGCGGGGACAGCAATTGTTTAATTTTTATTAAAACAAGCACTGTTAAGTCGCCTTGTACGCACGCATGCTTAACAGAAGATCACCTTGAAGTCACACGCGATTTTATATATACATAGTATATATTATACATACAATATATGTACATATGTACTTGCTCGACAGTCTTACGATTTTATCTGCTGTTTTATCTTAACTTATCGGTTTGTTTTATTTGCGCGTCTTCTTGCTTACCTTTGCAGTTTTGAGACTGATTGTTAATACAAAATATTCAAGATTCCCCAAGCGAACGTGCGTTAAATTTAGAACTTGTTCTGCCCGTTGCGCCTGTATAGGTTATTGAAACGATCTCGACGGAGCCAAAAGAGCACACGTCTGGTTAACACCGACGTTCACTTGCTTTTGATGTTAAGTATTCAGCTGGGGCGAGCATGAAGCCAACGGTAGCGCACGCTCACTCTCTTGCTCTCTCTCTCTCTCTCTCTCACTTACTGGCTCTCCTTTGAGAAGTGCTGGGTGGTTGGCTCTATGGCGGCCTCCGAGCACGCTAAATATGTATATGTGTGCGTTCTTATATATATTCACACACACACACGCACACATATTGTATATATGTAGATACGTGTGATCAAGTTTTTCTCTTATCATAAATCGAAATACAAAAGTCCAAGCCCTCGAGTGTTATATATTTATTTTGTGTGTTTGCAAATATGTACGTATAATTTTAAAAAAGAGACACTATCAATTATAATTAACAATGCGTCAAAAGAGTAATTCCCTGGGCTTGATAAGCCAGTTGATATTGATTATTTGTGTTTTGGTTATGTCAGTCTTATAAATCGTTAGAATTTAGTACTAAGCAAATGGGTCTTGGCAACCATGTACGTTAATTTTAAACGCATAACATACATTGTATGTGTGTTTGTATGTTTCATGCTACCAGGGCTGCTACACTTAACAGCTGTTGTGGTGGATTGTCGATAATTGTTGCCTGCCTGCTATTTACATTTTTTTTGTAGACTTGTGTGCAATTGCAATTGTTCAACTGCTGAGCAAATTTAATTTAATCTTATTTTACAGGCCAAAGCCGCAATATGTCCTATAATGGGTACACCCAACTGCCTAGCGGTAGCATCGACTATGAGCACCGCCAGCAACAGGTGGTGGCCAACACCTACGATGTCCTGCAGCGCACGACCGAAAGCATACAGCGTTCCAATCAGGTGGCCATCGAAACGGAAAACATAGGAACTGGGGTAAACTCTAAAACAAAACCATTAAAAATGCTTGGCTAATAATCTTTTTCATATACCACACACACAGGTGCTCGGCGAACTCGGTGAACAGCGTGAATCTCTGCTGCGCACCACACGCCGCCTGGAGGATGCCGATCAGGAATTGTCAAAGTCACGGATCATCATACGCAAACTGAGCCGGGAAGTTGTTTACAACAAGATTGTATTGATATTAATTATTATTCTGGAGGTGGCCATACTCATTGCCCTGCTGGTTTTAAAGTTTGCCCATCTATGAAGGGCGGGCGGCATCAACCGAATCATTATCCCAAAGTTGAGATCTATTCGTAGTGGATATGGATTTTTATTAAAATTGTTTATTTCTTCTAACATTCATGTTAAACCCATGCCTTAGACATATAGAGTTAAGTTACTATAAATCGTTTATGATCGATATTAATAAAACACAGCTAAAAGTTATGGAGATTTTTTCGATCCCTTATCTACACATTTCACATTTAGTATATGCGGGAATAACAATGATTATTTATATATATATATATAGGTATATATATGCGCATATGTTTATCGCGATTATTTGGCATAAAGCAAGTTGCATGCAATGGATAAAGAACGCATTCAAAATAGTTGTTTATGTTCGCAAAATACTTGTTGTACGTTGCGATTTAAGTAAATACACGCGTTTCTATTTGAGACAACAAAGTAAAACGTAAATGATGTGTTCGAGAGTAATCCGCTTTTGTGTAACCACTTGAGAAAAGGCGATTAAATGGTTTTTGGGGCTGGAATGCAGCTCAACGTTTAAGTAATTTTCAATTATCCTTTGGTAACACTATGGACCAGCCAAATACGCGTCGATCGAAGCCGCAGGAGAACAAATCACAATTGAGAAGCGGCTCCTCCGCCCAGGCGACGGACGAGACCATGCGACGATGTCCCTGGCGACTGGTGCGCGGTAAACGCGCCACACGCTGCCCATTCAAATCAAATAGTCGAATCTGTCGGTTGTCGTGGGGAATAGCTATAATACCGCCACTGGAGACAGCTAAGCGATTTACGGATGAATCTGTTCGTATGGTTGCCAGGGCTGAGCGCATATTGCGCAACTCCCATACTTTGATAGTGCGATCATCTGAGCCCGAGACGACTTTATCGTCGCGTGCAAAAACGCTTGATGTGACCGACTCGGTGTGTCCCTGGAAGACGGATACTGCAGGTATCGGATCGCGGAAGTCCCATAAACGGAAGGTGGTGTCACGTGATGCGGTCACAACCAGACGCTGCGTTGGATGGGCCGAAACATGGGTAAGCTCATGATCGTGGCCAGTTAGTGGCTGTAGCGGCTGTGCCGTCTCCACGTCCCACAATATTGCAGTGCGATCCCAGCTGCCTGTGATAATCTGGTCCATGCTCGAAAGCCAATCTGCAGCGACTACAACTGACAGATGGCCACCAGGTCCACTGAACTCGCAAAGCGGCGTACGCAACGTGTCCACTCGGTCCCGATCCTCCAGCTGGCCATCACTGTCGTCAAGCTCCTCCTCGGACGAGTGGCCCTTTCTATAGATGGATGAGCTAATAATTGTGCAACTTTCTTAATAATTTATAACCTCTTACTTGGGCACTTCCCAGTTGACCGCTGCTTGCCAGATGTGCGCAGTGCCATCGCCACTGCCTGTTAACACCAGATCTCGATGCTGATGGAACTTAATTGAGTTGACGGATCCCGCATGTCCTTGGTACTGCAGCAAGCAACGGGCACTCTCTATGCCCCAAATGCAGGCGGTGTGATCGGCTGACGCTGTGCCAATAATGGGCTGACCCACTTTTGCGGCAACCTGCCATATGCCATCCTTGTGGCCACCAAATTCTCGCACCACTGAACTGACCACCGTCTGCGCCTTGAAACTAGACACAATACGGCTGGTCTGCGCTTTGATTTTATTACTGGCCTTTACCTTGCTGCCGCCGGTGGCGCTGCTCAGCTTGGCTTTGAGACTCTTGTGTGTGCTGGAAGCGGCAGCCAGCAAGCTAGCGCCAATTTCGTCGCTCAATGGAGCCGAAGGTGTGGCGGGCGTAGCTGCCAAAGAGGCACCACCGCTACCCGTGGCGACCAGCGAGCCAGTGGTGACTCCACCCGCTGCGGAACGTTGATCGTACGGCGTCAGCGAATCTTTGGTGTTTGCGGTGGCGTTGTCGAGTTTATCCTGGACTGCAAGGAGCGATCAACAAAAGCTTGCGCACTCTTTCAGAGGAGTCTACTCACGATTAAGGTTCTCCAAGTACAGCTGCTCAAATTCCTTTTCGATTTGGGCAAACAGGAAGTGCAGGCGGGCACGAAATGGCGCATCCTCGGGTATTATGGAGATGTCCTCGGTGAGACTTGTTAGCCGCGTTTTTGCTGCCGTTGCCTTCATTGTGATGTTTTTGTTTTGCTTGTGTATTTGTTTCCTCACGTCTGCCAGTTTATTTCTGACTTCCGCCACAGTGCGTTTCCCGTCAGCTGGTTTGTTGTTAACAATCCAATTAGTGGATAATTTTAATGGTAGCCGTTCGCAATTTATTGATCCAATCCCATTATATATATTCGTGTTGCATGAATATTTTTCTTTGGGTTTTGATGCTTTGCAGTGTTGAAAAACATCTAATCGCGAAATGCAATCTTTTTCTACACTGTACACAAACGCAGCTGAATAACAACATTGAGCAGAACATCAGCTGATTGACTTAACCGATATGTGTGCCTGAAGTTTTACTAGATGCCCACTGACATGACTTAGAAATTTTGTTTGTATGATTGCTTACAATAGGAATATAAATATATCTGACAGCCAGTAATTAAGATACATTTTAAATAATAGTCCAAGAGTTTAAACTTGTGCATGTGTAGGTTTACTAATATCAGAGAAGCCGCATAAACATACGTATGCAAGCCAAGCTTCTATTATCAATCGCTCACATAAAGGTTAACATTTGTTTTTTTTACACATTGCTTGGCCACATCGCTGACGCAGACTGACCAACAGATAAACAATACAGTTAGGAGCTGTTAATTAATATTAACAAAACATTTAAAATGCGCAAGACATGGGTAAAACGCGAGAATATTTATTACAAGCCGTTCTACAAGGACAAATCCAAAATGTTTTTTCTGTTAATTTTTTTGGTTGGAATCTCATTCATTGCATATCAGGTTAGTAAACGATTTTGTGCCAAATATTATTTTATTTTAATAAACAAAAGTAAATAATAGGCCTTCTCGCTGAATCAGTTGCCCAGCGTTCAGCAGCTGCGACTCAAGCACAAACAAATGATGCAGTCTCTGGGCAGCAAACAGCTGGATGTGGACGACTTTGATGGCGGAGGCGGTGCCGGTGCCGGATGGGGTCTCAATCTAGCTGTGCCTGCAACCCAAGATGCAGACGCTATTAAGATTATACGGTACGTTGTTTAACGCAGAGCAAAGGTCAGCCATATAGCAATAACCACGTCTACCATGTGCAGCGGCATACGGCTCTTCGACTATGATGCCTACAAGCCCAATTATAAAGGCAACTTCAAGTGCCTGGATGGTAGCAAGGAGATTCCGTTTGACCATCTCAATGACAACTATTGCGACTGTGATGCTGATGGCAGCGATGAGCCGAGCACGAATGCCTGCGCCAATGGGCGTTTTTATTGCAAATACCAAAAAAGACATATCACGGGACGTGGCCTGGACGTCTGGGTCTGGGCGTCCCGGGTGAACGACAACGTTTGTGATTGCTGCGATGGCAGCGACGAGTGGACGACACATGCCAAGTGCCAAAATAATTGTGCGTAGCTTTTCTTAGGTGCAGCTAAGCAGACCACCGGGCGCAGAACTCCACTTCTATCTCATACGCATCTCAAAGATTACTCTGTTAGTGTTAAAATCGCATCACAAAACATATTTTTTGTAGAACATTTTTGATTACGATTACGATAAACTTGTAATTTATTAAAAAAAAGAAAAAAAAAAAATAAAAAAGAACTAGGCGGTATGTTTAAGTAGATTGAATAAAAACACATTAATCGTAAAAATGTAACTGCCCAATATTATCTAACATTATGAACAATCGAGACTTCTTGGTTGCAATAGTTTCTGCTGGTTGACATGGTCCAAAACCCGTAGTTCATTTTAACCCCCATTTAAGGCTTTCGCACGTTTGCTTATGCTTAATTTCATTTATTGCTAGACTCGCAAGAATCAGAAGCCAGTTTTACATAGAACTCTATATTTATAATGAAGAAAATTCCTAGCACAATTCAATGCTTTCTTTATCAACATTATCATTTAATATGTCTTCATTTTTGGTTTAAAATTCGCAGCATATTTACTTTACTTTCAAGCCATATAATTTTTACTGACAATTTTGAACTGCAAATTCTAAAAGGTACGAAACGGTTGTTATTAGATTAATAGCGATATTTTAGTTAAAGTATGTAATCACTGTGTATGCTAAGTTTAGGAGGGTGTATGCATTTATCTGTTATATAAGTGGTAACCGGGATTTAATGGTTGTTTTTAATTGAATTTTATTTATGTTTGTGTTGTTAAGGAACGTTTTTGTTATTTTAGAATTGTTGTTTATTTTCATTGAGATGGGCTACTAAGAATTCCGTAGTACAAAGTTCAACTACGTACACAATACATAGAGCAAAATCGTTTTTGTAATCTTACAAAATTCATTAAATAAAGTACAATAAAGGCATTACTACTAAGATTAATTGAATTTGTAAGCCTATGTGTTTTAAGGTTTTTGGAACTTAAGTTATTCTTACTTAACGCTAAGTAATACTTAATCAGAGTTTTTCTTTTCTTTTCTTTTCTATATTTAATATTGTTTAGATACTGCGGCTCTATGTTTGCGTGGATAAATTTTTACTTTCATATAAATTCCTCTTGATTGAAAAGTCCAAATATGATTTAAATACGTGCGCATTCCAAATAAGAAGAGTGGTGAAAAAATTGCATATACGAAATTACAAAAGAGATGTATTATTGCACTGACGAGATTTTATGCTTAAGCTTTCGACAATATGAGAAGGGGATATGTATAAGACAAAAAAAATGTATATAATAAAAAAATAAATAAATATTTTTGGGACATCAAACATAAATTATAGAAAAAATATACAATTAAAATCTGTTTCAGCACAACAATTGACACAATATTTGAACCTAAACTTAGCTTTACATAATAGGTATAAAAAGAGAGAGTTGAGTTGAGGGTAACTTAACCTACGCTTAAACAAAATGAATTGCATATGATGTATGTATAGATAGTTTATAATTAGGTGTACTAGTCTAACGGCAAAGCGTATAATACAATTTTTGCAGTTTGCGTTTCGAGCGGCACTGATGATGGTTGTGCGATTGATTTGGCTGGTGATGGTGATGATGGTGTCTGTGGGAGTGCTGCTGTGAATGCGCCTGTTGCAAGTGCTGCTGCTGATAGTGAGTGCGTGCTAAACTGTGTTGCTGTTGTAGTTGTTGTTGTTGTTGTTGCATATGGCTTTGATTATGATTATTTACAAGGCTCGCAGTGGCAGCCGCGGCTGAGCTCGTTGCAGCACTGAGAGCCACCGCCGATGAAATCAGTGCAGCGGCCAAGCGAGAAGATGCCGATGAAGAGGCGGCGTCCGTTGAGAGCAGCAGTTGTTGCTGTTGGCGTAACTGCTGCAGCTGCTGTCGCTTAGCTGCGGCGGCGCCTTTGCGCATCGCATGTAAACGCCGCCTATGATGATGGGGATGCAATTGAAGCTGTCACTTTGCCTCATCGCTGCCATCCAGCAGATTGTTGCTACCACTGCTAGCACCATTGTTGGTGGCCACATTTGGCTGCTCATTGCCAGCTTGTTGCTGAAGCTGCTGTTGATTGAGGGAATGGACATGCTGACAGAATGCCTGCAGTACTTCAAAGTGCGTCATCAGATTCGCTGGCTGATTATCGTAATGCAAGTGTCGCGTAATAGGCGCATTTAAACGCCGCAACATCTCAGTAAACAGTTTCTCTTCCTTGCGTATCCAGGGCCGCCGATCGTCCTGCACCTGGTAGGGTGTGAGGTGCACATGTATGTTCATGCCTAAAATTGAATACTCATAAGCGAACTGTGATTTAACAATCCACAACAAAATGCGTACCCATTCGCGTAAGTGTCTCCAGCAGACTCCGTGATGTGATCCATGTGTTCTTCTGTCCACCATGCCCTCCGTCTAGCCAGTACATGTCTGTTATGCGTGATAGCAGCCGGCACATGCTGCTGTCGTCCGGCGTCAACGTTTTCAGATAGTGAAATTCATAGATGAACTGCAACATAATAATCATAATCATAATCAACAAATACATGGAATGTGTCAGTTAGGGTATTATCGTCTGCTTCGGCAGCGCCATCAATTTTGTTAGCGATTTTTACACCAAATGTGACTCACTTGATTGAGCACGACGCAGCCCTTGCTGAAACCAATCAGCACCAGCTTGGACTTGTCCAAATTCAGATTCTCCCGCCACCACAACGGATTGCTGTCGGCCGCTGCCGTAGTTGCTCGTGGCTGCTGCGGCTGCGCTGGCAGCGTCGGTTGCGACGCGGCGCAATCGTTGCTGCTGTTTGTGTTGTTGTAGTGCTCCACATTGTTCGCTGGCGTTGAGTTTGCCTTTGCAGCTGTTTGCTGTTGTTGTTGTTGTTGCTGCTGCTGCTGTTGTTGGCTGTTTGACTCCTGATGGTTGTTAGCGACAGCGTCTTTGTTGTTGCTGTTGTTAACTACATTATTTGCAGTTGTGCCCGTTTCCGTGGTGCCAGCGGAAACTATGGGAAAGATCACGGCGCCATCTGCATCTACTGTTACATTTTCCTGCACCTGCAATATGTCTATGTCCATTTCCTGACTGCTGTCATTGGCTGCCGCCGCCGCCGCCGCCGCTGCTGAGGCTGAGCTAGACTCTGAGTTCGCCGTTGCATTCGAGAGCGTCAACGCTGCGGCTGCTGCAGCTGCAGCAACGGCAGCAGCCGCTGCCGCAGCTTGCGCCGCCTGATCGAGTATCTCGTTTTCGGGTATTGAGATCAGACGTTGCGATAGATTCTGTAGCAGCCTGTCAGGAGCGTTTAAAGAAGAAGAGATTATGAAAAAAAGAACGTATTGAAATAAGAAAAACAAACGCCAAAGCTCAAGAGGCCTGACATACATATAATATAAAATCTGAAAGACTAGATTGTTTAGATGTACCAACAATTGAGATACATCCAATATCAAACAATAAGTTTTTTTCCACCGAACTTACGGGAAGGGCAAAGGTATTCAAAAAATTGCACTATTCTTGTATACTCTATGAGAACCTGCATCTTATATATATTTATATATATGTATATATTGATACTAGCGGGTATCGCCTGGCCTTACCAGGATATTACCTTTCGACTAAGTACACGCCCGTGGAAAATTAAATCTACCCATCTTGATCTCCACTTCTATTTAAAAATATTCAAGTGTTGGAATCCACGGTTTCCGCCCTTGTTAGTCTTGCGGTGAAATTCTTGAAGATGAAGCATAACTTGCGTACTTTATGGGGGTCGGAGAAGTCTCCTTCTGCTAAAGTCATTTACATATTTTGGGGTTATACAAATTATCAGACAACACTTATTTCTCATCTTATCCGTTCATAGATATTGACCAAGTTGAACTAAATGTGGTTTCTCTTCAACTCACTTTTCTAAATGTTGCAGCGCATGGTTCATGGGCGTATGATCCGGCACACCAGCATTATTTCCACGCACGAAATTATCGAAGCAGCTGAAGGTCTTAAATTCCATGCTGCAAGTGAAAGAACATCACTTAGTATAAGACTGAGAATATGCTAAAGAGAATTACTTACCGAACCGGCCGTATGACTATAATATGTGAGCGAGGAAAGGCTTCACGCAGCAATATCGCAGAATTCTCCAGATTGTATTTCATATAGCCGCGACTGTCCCGATTCGTTTCCATGCTCTCCGGAAAGTCCTGCACATCGCCGCCGAAGTAGATAATCGCTTTGGAATCGTCGACATGCTGCGACTGCTGCCGTACAATTGGCGGGCAGTAGACAATGTCGTTGGCACGATTCTGAAAACCGGCCACGGAGAATATGCGAAATGGACCGGCCGAAGTGCTTGGCGTGCATAAACGCTCCCCGCTGCTGCCGCCAAGCATGCCCTCGAAGTTTCGTATCCTCTCTTGCAGTTGCAGAAATTGATCAATGGTGAGCTGGGAGGAATGAGAGTCATCAGAGATCATTCCAAGCGTCCCACTGAACAGCCACCATAGCATACACAATGCAAACACACGCATTAACACACAAGCACACACACACATGCACACACATACACATACACACGCTCGCACACCTAGTAATAATCAGTTTCATATAAATCACGCGGATCGCCACAGCAGCCAACAAAACGTAGACGCGTATCCTCCACACACAACTTGGCATCCTCCTTCATCTCCTTGAGCTTGACGCGCACCTCCTCGCGCATCAGATTACGGCACATGGCCACCAGTCCCATGCCCAGCAGCATATATATAAAGTTAATGGCCAGCTTGGAGTGTTGATCGGTAATGCGCTGCAGCTCGGACACCTCATTCGGATCGGCGGATATGTCTTCGCGCAGCTTATGCGTGGCTGCATCCACATCGGCGGCAGTCGTTAGCGAAGCGCCCGGCACAAAGTCCCCGAATCCGATTTTACACAGTGATGTCATGCAGAAATAGAAGCTATTTAGAAAGCTCCATTTCTCCCAGTTGGCAAACATAATGGTGCCTGTGAGCACATAGAAGATGATGACCCACAGACAAGCCGTTGAGGGCACAATTATCTTTTTGCGTAGCGTCAGGGCGCCCAGAGAACTGCCGTTCTCCAGCGCCTCCAGGCGAGCATCATAGCTGCGCTCCTGGGTGCAGTCGTGCATGGAGCGGTACAGAAACTTAAACGAACGCGCCAGCACGCGACCCATATTGAGAAAGTAGAGTATATAGAGGGGTATGCCAAATGTGGCATAGATGACAGTGAAGCCCTTGCCCCAGGGCGTACGCGGCACCATGTTCCCATAGCCAATCATGGTGATCACCGACAGGCAGAACATTAACGCTGCCGGGAAGCTCCAGATTTGCGCCGGACTGCGTCCCACATAGCCATTCTTAATGATGGCCGCTATCTGCACCTGATATTCCCGAAGCACCGCATTCGTCTCGTTCACCCAAAGCGGCTTGTCAATCAGGTTAAGCTCCTCGGTGATGTTCCAGAGACGCTGCGAGTAATTCTGCCTCAGCTCAAGGACATATGTCGCCGTCTTGTCCACATACTCTCGCTCAATGTTCATAAAGGCCAATGCGCCGCAGATGGCATAGAAAACGATGAGGGCGCCCACGCCCACCTGGGTGCACATGAACGTGACAAAGTTCCTGCAGCATCGTTTGACGCGTTTCCTCGGCTGATTGCTTGCCGTTGAGGAGACTACCGAGGCGTCCACGCCCACGCCTGCGCCCAGCATTTGCGGAGAGCTGCGTTGAAATTTGTTAGACATGTCGGCCAGACTAAAGCAATTACATAGTTATATAAGTCTATGGGCCCAGCAATGTTTTCACTTATATATCCAAGTATCTAGGAAAATTATTCCTATTATTCTGTCTTCCGTCTTTTTTCTTTTTAATGTGCAGTTAATTGGAAATTTGCTTTGGTTTTTCGGGGGCAAAAAGTCTTGAAAATCAGCACAAATGCTATAAATAAATCCACGCACGACCACACAACATTTTCCGCCTAACGAGCCTCTTAACGATCTGCCGAGCTCTAGATGCGCTCACCGCGGCCGCCAAAATTGAACTGCGTGTGTGCTCCAAAAAAAAAAAAAATGAAAGGAAAACTAGTATTTCTCTTGGGCAGAAATAACAACAAGCCAAAAACAACAACAACAACAGCAGCAGAAGCATAGCAAAGAGTATCGTTAGGGATTCAAAGAAATTATTTTGGGATACAGTAAAAGCTCTGCTAACGTACAGCGAATGATCTTGAGGAACCGTGCACTACTATTTCTGGTACAAAAAGCTGAAGCGGATAAACTATTCCAACGATAACAAGAGAGAAGGGACACCTTTGGCGTACCGAAAACTTAAAGCTCTCTTAGACATATGGCCAATGGTTTCGCAGATGTATGTGGAGAGTTAGAATAATTGTTTAATTTGCTTAGTTTTCGATTCTTCCTTGCAGGTATAATATTGTAGTAAAGATATCTTGAAAAACACATTTGTGCCTTCAAGAACTTAATTTTAAGCCGATCGCTTTCTACTGATTCAGAATACACGTACTTTATGGGCTCGGATGCGTCTCCTTCTAGGTGTTACACATTTCGTGATAAAATAACGTACATACGAGTATTTACAAGTTCGGAAAATTAAATTTAATTTTTTGCAAAATTCATTTAGGGGAACTTTACTGTACATACATATCTATCTTACGATTTATGAACTATGGCATCAAAAACGGGAAATTTAAATCCAAGGAAAATCTATTTGCATTATTGGATGTTTACGTTATGGCGAGTGGATGTGGGTGTGTAGATAACACAGATTGTATGGGAAACGTCTTTGATTTATGGCTTAAATAGATGGCAAACTTGTAGATACATGAGCATGTATCTAGATACATTTTAGAAACTTCACAAATTAATTATTTGATAATCATACGCACATCAACAGCCGCAGAAACAATAACAACAACAATATATAACCAAAACAAAGTGTATGCATAATATAAACAAAGAATAAAAAGCGCGAAAGAGCGCACAACAAACAACAAAAAACAAGAAAAGAAACAAGCGCCACAGTGTGACCTGATCCAAAACGAACCCAATGCACGGTGACGCAGACAAACACGCATTTTGGCACGCAAACTTTTTTTTTTGGACGCATTTGCAATTTCACTTTCGGTGCGTGTGTGTGCAACTGCACTTGCATAACACCTCCCTTGCCAAAATATGGTTTTTAAGGGTCGTTCACATTCCGCTTAGCCGGTTTAACCTGTACGCGAACGCGCGACAGACAACAGATACACAAGAAGAGGCAGGAAGATCAATGAATGTGCAAAAAACGGGTCAGTGGCGGTGGTTTGCGGTAGGCAAGCGCTGCGTTACGTGGGCGTCATTAGGGGTGTTCAGTGCGAGGAGGCGACAGCCGAGAGGTATGCGACGGGGCGATGCATTGTCCCCAGCGGCGCTCAACTGCTGCAGTTTTGCTCAGCAATGACCCTGAAGATGTCTAATAAATGGCCAGTGCCAAGCGCAGCGACTGCGGCAGCGGCAGCGGCAGCAGCAACACCAGCTCTGAGGGGTGAAATGCGTAGCCAAGAGATGGATTTTTTCTATACACACACTCACGCACACACACAATTTGGTCTCACATATACCCGCGCGCATACACACACTCACACACATATACTTCACAAATTTATGCAAAATTTTCAGCGCACCGCGCGAATTTTGCATTGCCTGCACCATTTCGCTGTTCTGTTGTGTACTTACGCCGTTTTTTATAATTTGTTGTTATAATTTGTTTAGTTATGAAATATTCCCGCGTCTTTTGATTATATTCCGTTTTCTTTTATCTGTGCGTCTGTATTTTTAATTTCGTATTTTTACATTGATATTTTCACACACTGCAAATATGGGCACACAAATCCTGTTAAAAATCCCAAAACTGCGCACTTTAGCGTCTGTGTGACCGCAATGACAACATAAAAAATACCACATACCGAGATACTAAAAATACTGAATTTGCAGAATGCATCATGCCCTAGGTGGCAGCCCCAAAATAGAGTATTTACATATGCATGTATGGTATTTGAAAAGAAGGCGGGAATTTATTTGCACAGAAACTAAAATACAAAAAACATTTGTTCTTCTACAATTGAGATGTTCCACTTTTATGATTTACCTTCTAATGGACTCCTACAGAACAGTTCTAACGCATTAAAATTAACAAATTTTAAATTTTGATCAAATTTTTGGTTATATCACATTTCATTTTTGCGAAAATGGTGTTTTGTGAGTCCAAAAACTTCTTTTATCGGAGTAATAATATTCATTGCCCAAAATAAAATACATCGACTTTGTATGTATAGTAGTATATTATCAACAACAAAAGTTGTATACACCACATAAAATAACTAATACAGCAGTTCACTGGTTGAAAGTGCCCGACTTTGAAATACCCCGTGCTGCTGCTCTTACAAGCATTTCAACCTTATTCCATAAAATACACAAGCACTTTATGTAGCGGCGGTGCTTCTTCATCCCTTTGCCGAACACGTTGCAAGGGAAATGATTAACTTCGGCGTTTTTAGTCTGATCCTTCTGCAATTTTCAGGTATTCAGTGTGGCATACTAAAGTGTTTATATACAGATTTTGAACAGATTAAAAGATGTCGATATTTGTAGAATATACAAGAATACGGCATGATTATATCGTCTCAGCTCGTCATCCTGAATATATATATATTAATATGTTAATCCTTTTAGGGTCGTGGCTGTTTCCTTTTGCTCAAGCACATTATACCCTCATATTTTACCTACTTTCAATAGGTAAAACTATCCCAGCTCTTAAGGTTTGGGCTGTGCGTGTATTACTAATTAGACAGTCAGGTCGAACCCTTTTACTTTTTAGATAAGTCTGTATATAGGTTTTCTAATGAGGTCTTGCATTTGAGATATACTTACAATGTCGCAGTATCGGATTGAATATACTTACTGATATATTGATCAAAAAGCATAAACTTACTCATTTCCATAAATTTGAGTTTATATAAAGAAATATGGCTGAAATGAAAGAGGAACCCAGAATTTCACCCCGAAGCCTAACGAACGTTTTGAATTGTGCTTCCAACAGAGGGCTTGATAATATAGAATTGAGTGCCCTAAATGAAAGTGGGTTATTTTAATAATAATCATAAAGTTTATTTGGTTTTATTTATCGACATTAAAATGCTGCTAGGGATGTATATATTTGATTTAATTTGAATAAATTTGCAAGATATATGCATATACTCGTTTATGTATGTGTAGCATATGAAATTGATTTATATAAACTGTAAGACGACGAAAAATTTGTTATTAATATTTGCCATTTGTGCCATAATTTTCATATAATGATGGACACCTTTTAATTCTTGTTATTAATATAAAAATTGTCGAATGCAGAGTGAAAAGGAATTACATAAAATCTTGTTTAAGTGTGCTGCAAGACTTTAGCAATATTATAATGATTATTTGTAATATTATTATTCTTTTTATTAATATTATTATTTGTATTATCCGCCAGCCAACCCATATTTATATGTATATGTTTAGAGTTTTATATGTCATATATAAAAATACTCCCTAGAACGCTCGAAAAAGCAATCCTTTGGTTATGGTAAGTTAATCCCAAATCTAAATCTGTATAGTATGTAGTATATGTTGGTTGTTTTTAATATAATTTCATATTTATTACATTTTTGGTACATAAATCTGTGTCTGTGTGTGTGTGTTGTTGTTGTTGTTGTTGTTGTTTGAATTGCCTTAAACTTTGTGCTGTTGTTGTTGTTTTCATTTAATTGTTGCTGCAATTGTTGTGGGTTTATGTAGTATAGTTAACTGAATAGTTGTAAAGCTAAGTAAAATTAGAGTTATTCATTTATATACACACATACATAACTTAAAAGAACAGTGCGCGAAATTAAACAAAAAGTCATATAGTAGTAGTTAAAAATTATGAACTAAGAAATTATTTTATACATTTTGTGCTTTGGACCGAAATATAACGAATTTTGATAATAATAATATGTATACGCATTTAACAAAAGACTGTCCTAAATAAATATAACTAAAAGTCAAGCAACATATATGTAATTCGAAAAATATTTCCATGTTGTCTCTTCCTAATTATATTCGTTACTTTTTTGTTTTTGTTTGTTTTTTTGCTATTCTCATTAATTTTGTTATGTAAAGTTTTGTGCCGAAAATATCACATTGATTTTTATTTTTTTTTGTTGTTTTTGTGTTTAAATTTATCTTTTATCATTTTGCCATTATCAATTTCAATAAGTGCCAAACCATAATTTTGCCTATCACAAAATGTTTAAAATTAATCAATTGAATTGTTTAAAAGTTTTATAATAATATAGTGCTGAAATGATTCCCCATTGGGCATTGAGTTCTAATAGTTGTCAAATGTCACACAAGCAATTACTTATCTTGTTAATAAGTTTAATGTACCTCGTAGTTTCTGATATGAATTATTTGAATTCCATTTAACATTTAGTTTATTTAACACAAGTGATTTTTTGTAGTTTTACTTTTATTTTTATACTATATAAATATAAGCAAGCTTAACGTAAATGTTTAACAAAATTGTGAGGTGGTTCAAGTGGTTCGCATTTAGTCTAAGAAAAAAACTTATCAAGAACTTTAACCGTACGCAAAAATTATAATAATAAAAACACATTTACACGCAGCAAACAAACAAACGAACGTTAATTAAAAACATTTGTTGCATTT